TCTTAGGCAATATGTACCAAAACACTGATCAGTTGGACATTGAGAAGTCATTAAGTTCACCTGTGAAGGTTTTAGTGCCTTTTAGCTTCATCATGAAATTTGCCCCCAAAGCCCAATATCCATAACTTTTGGTGAGCGCAGTAGTGGGTTTATATGTCGAATGAGGTGTTTAACCAGACATAATATAAGGTTTGTAGTTTTAGCCCTCAGCGCTAACACGCTAAGCTTAAATCACAACTCTGCTAGCACGCACCTCACAAATGTGCAGCGCACCTTTTTTAGTGCATGAGCTCATCATTGCATGCTGTGTGTTTGTTTTGTGCCGTCTATTTTTTAGACTTGACGCAGCCGAAGGAATGTAAGTGGTCATTTCATTCCTGTTCCTCACATTTTTTTCCACACATTATCTCTTTCGTTCGTTCCTCTGTTGTTTCCTTTTGGCTCTTCCGCCTCATCCCTGCGTCTTCCCTCCAAGCAGCTGGTGGCTCCTGTTTCCAGGCTAACTGCCAAAGAATCACACAGCCTGTCAAACGGACAATTTAGCACCCGTGGCACTGATTGTAATCACTCTTCTGTCTTTTTGTGGGCTCTCTTAAGTAGAGCGATGTTGCAATCTCAGCGAGGCACACACATTTGAATGTATTTATTTTTTTCCCCAATGTCTTGTGATAAGGGCTGCGTGGTCGATATCCGTGAGGCAGTATGTAGGTTAAACCATGCCTATAATTTGTATTTGGACTCGACAAACCAAGTGTGACAATGCTTGACGACGAGGGTCCTTGTACCTGCCTCATTTGAAGAAAAAAAAATCTTTAAGACCAGAAATAAATCGGTACAATACCACATACGGGGAGGCCTTTTCCAAATAGAACCGGTAGAGTTAAATGACATAATACCCCTCAAACTTCACTGTCATAGTCATGATCACCTTCTGTGATGACATCACATGATCCAGGCTTCAGTGGTTTTGGAACAAACGGTGGAATTTGAGTCTCCATGGATCGGATGATGTGTGAGACGTGTGTGTACCCTGCTTAGAAAGGGCCTGCAATCCAGTCAGCATGTTTCCAGGTCCAACTGCCGATTCTTTTCTGTTCCACTGCTCTTTCCCTCTCGTCCGTGTGCATGAACACGAAAAAGAACCCTTGTGAAAAGCCCCGTTGATCATGGTGATAACCGTGACTGTGTGTATCCGTGCTCGCCTAGGAGTCCACTGGCCCAGATGGAGGAGGAGCGGCGGGAGCATGTGACCAAGATGAAGAAGATGGAGATGGAGATGGAGCAGGTGTTTGAGATGAAAGTCAAGGAGAAAGTGCAGAAGCTCAAGGACTCTGAGGCAGAGGTAACACACGCGTGCGCACACACACACACACACACACACACACACACACACACACACACACACACACACACACACACACACACTTATCATTGAACTGGTATGTGTGCACATGTTTGGACATGTGTCAGACCTTTTAGGGTTTTTTTTTTTTTTCTTGCTACATTTTCATGATAACTTGAGTGATTCTGATGAGAACACCAAAGGCACTTCATAGTGATACTGACAAATGAAGACCACGAATAAAAGAAACTCCAACCATTTGCCAAGAGAATGCAGACCTTGGTTCAAAAAGTTTCCCCAAGTGTGCATAAGTCTTTTGCGATGTGTAAATGGGCAAATTGACTCACTTGTGCTTTTGGTTTGTGCGCGCAGCTTCAGCGGCGCCACGAGCAGATGAAGAAGAACTTGGAGGCACAGCACAAGGAGCTGGAGGAGAAGCGGCGCGTGTTTGAGGAGGAGCGAGCCAACTGGGAGGCCCAGCAGCGCCTGGAGCAGCAGAAACTGGAGGCCTCCAGGTCAGAAACAGTGACGTGACATCACACGCGTTGAAGAAGACTCTTGCTCACATAGTTCTCACAAATCTCTGCTACCTTAATGCTAACCCATAATGTAAAATGCCATAGCCTTGCTAACAGAAATTAGCATACTCAACATATTAGGAAAATTCTAAACCTTCAAATAACTGCTTCTCAAACACACACGGGGCAGAAACACACAAACACAGCCAAAGTCAATACTCACATGTATTAAATTCCTGGAGCATAGTTTTTCTTTTTTTTTTTTTTTTTTTTAGATAAGAGTTGTCATTTGCATGATGTTTTGCTTTGAATTGCGAGCCAAACTTTGAGATGAGTGCTGTATTGTGGTAGTGAACGCAACTCCCTCCTCAAGGAGCAGCACTATGGCAGATAGTTAACAATCCCCCCCACACACACAAACAGTGGTGCAACACATGTAGACGGACAAAATAACAATACTCCCAGGCGTATATTCTTTCATTTCTATAAAGAATGACAAATCTTACTTACCGAGGAATTGAAGGGTATCCATGTACAGTTGGTATCATATTGCCCCCATGTGTCCAAGGCATGCAAACCAGAAGGAGCGGCAAAATGCCCATCAAAGCAAAAAAGTGGCAAAAATTAATTTGATTATATTTAATAACAAAATTAATCTTCTATGAAGCTAGTTTACATATTTTTAAAATATATGCATTATATTTGGGGAGTGGGCTAAACGGCAATTATAAAGAAACAAAAAAATTGCAATGAACTCAAATCACCCAGCCCTTCAATAGGCTATCATAAAAGGCACGCTTTTCAAATCGGTCTTGCAAGTACTTGAAAATGACTTGAAGTGGCCCTTGTCTTATGTGTACAACGGTTAGGAATGATGTTGACTGTGTTGTTTCTTTTCCAGAACTTTGGAGAAGAACAAAAAGAAAGGCAAGATCTTTTAAAGAGACAGTCGTCACGGACCAACCGGCGTCCGCTTAGTTCTCTTTGCCAACGTTTGCCGCTCAGGGCATCATCAGTGTGTGGCACTGACGAACCCTCCCACGCCCCACCTTCACTCCATCTTCCTCTTTCCCTTGTTCCTGTTCCTACACCTTGTTTGTTGCTGTGTGTATGTGTGTGCGTGTGCATGTGTGTGTGCGTGTGTGTCTGACAAATCCATTGAAAAACACCCCTTACACACACTCACACACAATCTCGGGACTCATCATCATTGAAGAATGTGTTTACCTTAACAACCATAAAACATCAAAGTAGAAAAAGGCCAAACCATTTGTTATTATTTTAATATTATTATTATTATTATTATTATTACTGGTGTTGTTCTTACTGTTGTAATGCTGGCCCGGCTTCTTCCTGCTGCTTTCCCTTTTCCTACCAAGCAAGATTGCTTTTTAATTTACATGTTTTTTTTGGGGGGGGGGGACGGTTGTACAATCACATTTGTTTACATGACACAAATAAGAATATATATATACACATTACAATAAGGCGGACGCTCTTCCATGTTTTGGTGCAGCGGGAAGATTTTTTTTTTTCTTTAATGTACCCACTGAAGCTGTTTAACCTTTCCCGATTGAAAAAAAGACTTTGGAAAAGAAAAAAAATATCCCACCTCCGGCCTTTTTATAGATTCACTTGGCTTAAGCTTATTTCCACAATGTAACTTTTTTTTTCTTATCCACACTTCTGTTTAGCCATTTAACCCAAGCATTGGACCACCATTTATATAATGTTGAAAGTATTATATTTCTCTTAAGTTTTATTTTTCTATATAAATCTATACCAAGCCAGCTGAATTAAGGCCTGCTTTTGTACGTGTAGAATACAAATACAAACTCCTCAGAGACGTGAGAGCTGCGTCCACTGTTTATAAAGTTTTATAAATCAACAGACACCACAAAATACGAGATTAAAAATATATAAACAAAAGCGAAAATATTCAGTCGTGCTGTGTTCAACTGCCAGTGGGAAATGAAGAGACAACACCATGTTTTTTTGTTTTTTTCTTTTGGCTATGTACTCCATCTCTTGTATTTTTAATGTTATTTTTCATTTGTATTGTACAAAGTCACTTAATAAACCTGTGATCAGATGGTTGACTCATGTGGCTTCATTGTGAAATGTCACATGCTTGGAGTAAGACATGAAAGGTTAGGGTCACGCCCCCCAAAAATACAAGAATTGTGTTGGGGTTTTTTTGTGTGTATGTTCTTTTCAATAAAATACTTGGAATCTAACATTTAAAGTCATATTTTTGGTGAACAAGTTTATTTTTTTTAGAAAAAAAACATGTCATATTTTCTTTTAAGTCACATTTTTTCAAAACAATGATAGTCATAATTTAACAAGTTCAGCCGTTACTTTCCTAGATATTTTTTAATTGGCTAAAAAAGTTGTCTTGGGATGAATCAGATTTTTTTTTCTCAGAGGAAATTTCAGTCATTTTTTTCTAGATGAAACGTGATCATATTAGTTGTTAAATTTTTTTGTATTAACGTCAAAGGGAAGTGTGCCTTTTTTTTTTTTGCTAATTAGTTTTTATACGTCACCCGACTAAACTCAGAAAACAAGTGAGCCGTGATTGGCTGTTACCTGAGCTCCGATGAAGTGTGATGTCATTTTCAGTCGACAGCAAGTGACAAAACGACAGCCACCGTGAGATGGAAAACGGGTAGGTATTCATATTGCACAAAACACTATTAATCAGAATGCCTTGTTTAGACTAGTGTGGGCTCATAAAACATATTTTAAAGAACACTTTTGACTTGACTCGCCCTTTAGGAGTTTTGCTGGGATTAATTTAGAAAACAACCCTGTGTACAATACAAAAAATAAAAAAACTGGTCAGAGCGACGTGACCACAAGGTGAGAGGACTAAGAAGTTACCCAGTTAGCCACATTTTTACTCGACAGACATGTTATCAGTGGGGATGTTAACCCGCAAACTCCCCCTTTACCAGAACAAACGTTTTATGTATTTTTTAAGAAGAAACAAAGTCATATTTATGAGAGGTAAAAAGTCAAAATATTACCAGCCTATGTTGTGATTTTATATCAATATGTTAAGGGTGTAATTATTTTAGGGAATAATCAGAATTTATGATTACTATTATAAAACGAAAAATTAATCTTTTTTCATTTTCAGTGTGGATCGAATACCGAAAGTACTGTCCTGTATAATTTCACGTGAATTCTGCAGGTCTTCAGATAGCCACTGGGGGCCGCAAGTGCGACTAATACAGTACAGTATATGCATTCAGAGAGACAGTATGATGACACAATTAACAAACCACATACTTAATCGTCTACGTATGGTGTATATTCATTAATAATATGGAGCCTAAAAGTGACTTTGAAAAACACGTTCAGTATTTTGTGGTTCCTGGTGTTGAATCATCTGTCGACAGGCAGGTTGAATGCACTTGGCCGCCCTCAGCTCCTTTTGCCCATCAGACCAACAAAGGTGTGAAATCTGTGTCCTGCCAATTGAAGACAATATACGAGCTACTCTGCGCATGCATTCTCATTTGCATTTTTATGTGTTGTGTTTCTCGTTTTACAAATGGCGTTAGGGAGAATTTTATATATATATATATATATATAAAACAGGTAACTTTTTTCTTACACACTTTAATCAGGTCTTTACTTACGTTTACGTGATGCCAGACTCCCTGCGGCTTCAGAGAAATGTATAATGAAAATCATGTTTCTAAAATGGTGCAGTTTTTATATATTCATTATATTTTGGGCTTACCAGACTTTTTGTTGTAAAATCGCTGAGTGGGTCGTGGTTTTCCAGACATTTTTGTCAAGATATCTTTAATAAAGTCTGACTTCTCATATGTAATCTATTTAAAAACAATAACAGCAACAAAACAAATAAATGCAAGGTGCAAATTTGATTTTGTCATTCTAAATATGAGGAAAATATGTATATTTCTTACCTGACTTGTCCACTTGTCTCCATCCAGACAGAAGATGTTAGTCAGCAATAGAAACGAAATGACTAGTTTGATCATCTCCATTGTAATCCACTTTATGGTGCAGTTCAGAGAGCTCTTGCTGCCTTCTATAGTTGCCAATGGATAGTGACCACAGCTATGCTGATGCTGAATATGATGAGGATAATTATAAAGATGCATCATGGGAGGGTGTTTACCCCACGCATAATTACACACATCTCTCTCAATTTTCTCTGCACCTTACTTCATTAAATCAGCAATTTCAGAGTCACTCAAGAGACGTTTATGAGTCGTGACAGCAGCTCAAGTCACTCACATCCAATTTATCTTCATCCTCGACAGCCTATATATGATACTGTAGTGGCCAAGGCCGATGTGTGTAGTAGACTACTGTCAAAAAAAAAAAAAAAAACATTCCCTTGTTGGATTGGATTCTGTATTATTTACATAAAATAATGCAAAACGATTATAGAATAAATGTAGCCTATTAAATATATATTTGTATAATTTATTAATGTAATATAAAAATAAAACGTAACCCATGCCCCTTTGTTTTTATCACTATTAGTGATGATACTGTACATTTGTAGAGTACACTGTACTCTACAAATGTACAGTATCTTCAAATGTGTCATTTTGATTCCATGTCCATTTGTTGGTGTAAATTTCAGTCGAGTGGTGTCACAAAATGTTAATCCTGAAAATAGGTGGATGGATTAGTTTCTTGAATCTTATTCCACAATGATTAAGCACAAAGCAACATATTATACAGGACATCTGTACAAGTGTATACTTAAACTTTTTCTACAAATACTGCTACTGGTCACTTTAAAATGGTGCAATGATTTTCTGCACTAACTGCACGACTGTTATAGGATTGTATTCTGCCACTGATCACTTCAGCTCTGCTTGATACTTTGGACTTTGACTCACAGCTGTCATTGGGTGGTACAACTGCACAACGGTACCCTTACATTACAGAATTGTCTTTCCATACTTATTTGTCATGTCCTTGTTTATGATGATACTAGTGTAGCCTGAACTACCGGAGACAAATTCCTTGTGTGTTCTACATAATTGTCCAATAAAGATGGTTCAGATTTGTATTTATTATTTATTTATTTTGCTTTAAGTCAATGTGCAGAGAAACATGTAGTTAAATGATATTGGATTTTCAACAAGCATCAGTGCGTTTTTTTTTAAGTGTTATAGTTTAGTAAAAGGTGTTAAATGAAATCTTGTTTTCTCAACCATATTGCATCAAATATTCATGGCATTAGAAAAAGTGTGTTTACTGTACACGCTTTTTGACCCACTTCGGCCGCCGTCTTCTCCATAAGCTCTGCCTCCAATAGACGATAAGCAGCCGCCGCCTAAACAGTAAATCCATAACTGGGCTAAAGAATAACCTTAAAACAAAAAATGCGCAAAATTTGTCGTTGGAGCCGAATTGATCCAAATTAGCACGGCGTGGGAAGAATGTTGGGTTCAACATCTCCTGTGCTCTTTTTACTGCTTGTAGCTATCGTGCACGTGACTTTCGCAACAAAAGCGATACCAAGGAGGCGGCTGAAGTTGACCGACAATGAGGCGAGCCGAGCGGGCTTGGAGCCCCGCGACAATTTGGTGGAGGAGAGACGCTCTGGATATTTGGAGCCGGGAGAACCGGCTGCCGCGTTCACGGTGCCGACTCTGAATGGGGAGTTTGTGTACCAGCCGGGAGGAGCGGGTTCGGCGGGGGTCTCGTTGGTCATCCACGCGTTTAGCAACAAGTCGGCTTTCGTTGAGTGTTTGTGGAGTTCCTCGTCGTCCTTGGCCAGTCTCGTCGAGGAGCTGCCGAGTAGCGCTCAGGTGCTCTTCCTCTCCCTGGACGACTCCGCGGCCACGGACGCGCTCTGGATGCGGGATAGGCTGCACTCCGTCGCCAAAAAGCACAAGTGACTCACTCACTACTCTACTTCACAAACAATAAACTAAAACAGTACACAGTGAATGGAAACCGAGCCGGCCCGCGAATAGTGAAAATCCGTGTGTAGTTGATGTCCGTAAAATGCATGTTGGGGGAAATTAAACCCATAAAAATCGTAAAACAATAAATGGTAAATGAGAAAATTGAAAAATCCCCATGAAACGGAACATAATACTGTATATAAACAAAATATATATATGGGGGCGGGGGTAGAATTCAGTGGATAGGTGCAGTTGCTGAATCAATCTGAAGAACAAATGAATTTACTGTTGTACATCCAAATAGGCAAAAAGACTACTTCAAGATGCGCTGTCAAATTTAAGTTAACCTCTGTGGGACAAAAAACATCTAAGTGCTATAGACTCAGCACTTGATTTAAGAAATTAAATCGCATATTAAGACATTTCAAGCTGACTTGACTTAACATTTTTGGATAATATTGAATTTTCTGTTTGTAATTCAATATTACCAGTAGTATAAATGGAACCTATATGTGTTACGCAGATAAATGATAACTAACTATTCAAATGGGTAGTATATATTTCATATGGTCAAGAAGGAGACTACCATTCCCACAGAGGGTCAAAAAGCATCTTGCAGAACTAAGTAAAACAATAAAATTTTAAATTTAAACCAATTCAATTGTAAAATATAAATATGTCCTTATTTTCTAAATTTTACAGATTAAATGCTTTAACAACAGTTATTTATTTGTGTGCATGTGTTTTATCAGTCGAGAGGAGGTTTTGTCCAGACTTCATGTGTCTCCAGTACCGGTGTTTGCTGTTGGAAACTGGATCGCCAGCGTCTTGTACTCCTGGGCATGTACGGGTCACAACTGTGGCCTGTCTCAGGCTGTGTTCACTTCCCAGGGTCAGTGGCTCTCACAAAAATCAAACAAAAAATGGACACAATCTCTCCCCCCACCCACCTATGCTATATTAAAGCAAATGACAATGACATTCACTTTTTTTTTTCCTAGCATTTCCTTCTGATACCGAACATTTTTCTTCCATGGATAATTTAAATATTTTATTGAAAGAAAAAAAATGTACTGTATTCCTCCTCTGGGGAAAATGTGTCTTAATCATTTTTGAAAAAGACTCTTAAACTTGCTCGTGCGTCAGAACGAAAGAAGGGTTTTGTTCACAATTGTTAATTGAAATTTTATGTATCAAATGTACAAGCCTACTTGGTACTTGATTATTAGCGAACGTTCAAGAGTGAATACTCATGTCTGTCTGAAAAAAAGTCTGTATCAAACATCCAGAGTAAAAACCCATGAAAAACGATTAGCCATAACTTGAGCTGCAAGCTTATTGCGATCTCAATTCCCGCAGGATGGGATGTGCCTGTTATCGTCAAGCGACTGGACGCAAGATATGACTGGCTAACAGGTAGCTGGGAAAAGACGAGGTACGAGCTGAAGGACACGGGAGACGGCTGTGAGCCGTGGCCCTCTCTCGGCGGTGCCGTAGCCTGGCTGTCAGAGGGAAACTGCTCTTTCTTCACCAAGGTCACTAAAGTCATGATAGCAGGCAGTCACTATGTTTGATTGTGAGTCAAGCAAAATAACACAAGAAGAAGTGATGTACTCTATACATCGGGGTGATTAATTTATTTTATTTTACCCCCAAAATTCTTTAGAAAATACTGATAAATGTTCAATATAATCTAAGAAAAACAAGGATGTTGGAGGTGGTTATTGTGGTTCAGTGGATTTTTTTTTTCTTTAAAAAAAAATGGTAATATTAGAAAATAATTTGACCATAAGGACATGTACATAATATATATTTCGCATCACATCTTCAAACTTAGAATCAATCAGTCGGGCTATTTAAAAGGTGAAAAGTGCTTGCTGTGCTGTTTGGTGACACTGTGTGTACTACGCTAAACGTGGACCAGAGGAAGTTAATGTATTCGTACTTTTGTCATAAGTTATTTCTGGGACCACTTTGGGTTTTTCTGTCATTAATAGAGGGGTAGCCACAATATTGTCCATGTGTGCATTATCATACAAGCGCTCTATAATTATTGAATATAATATCAACAAAACTTGTGAACATTTGAAGGAGAAAAAAAGAATGTGGTGTCGTAGATGCTCAATAGTCTCCATTGTGTCTGTGACAGAAAATGAGTGCCGTAATCTCGCCACAGGTCCGAAACATGGCCAAGTCGAACGCATCTGGCGTGTTGGTCTACGCCCTCGCAGGAAATGCCATCCAGGACATGAACTGCGTGGACACGGAGTGTCTCACGCCACTCGCCCTGCCCGCAGCCATGGTGCACAACCAGCCAGCCGTCACCCGCATGCTCAGGTTTCATCGCTGCACCAAAGCCTTAAAACCCAACACCATGGAGATGACATTTTCATGCCTTTGATAAAACCTTTGATAGCATCAATAGCAGATGCACGTGAAGGTTATTCAGAATAATGCTGATGACAAACATTACAAACACACTCGAACGACCCAAGTCCAACACCTCAAAAGTCGAACGAAAAGTACCCAAAAGTCATCGCAACTATCATTCCCATTCTAGCCATACATCAAAGTAGTAGTTTGTTTTTCCAAGAAAAAAAAGAAATCCCTAAATCAGGGTTTACTATATCTTGAGATTTAAAAAGTCATCGTTCAAGTAGAATTAAGTTGTATTTTTCTTGAAGCAGTGCTAATTTTATGCAGACAAATTACATACGATGGAATTTTTTGGTGTGTGTTGTGCGCTTATTTTATATTTATTATTATTGAAACAAGTCAAGAGCTCCTCGTTGTATATTCCAATATAAACATGTTTTTTTTGTTTTTTTTTTTTTTTTTTTTTTTTTTTTTGACAGATCAGGTTTGGCAGTGAGTGTTTCTTTCCAGACCACGCCGTCTCCCAACTTCTTCATCGGCATTGACCAACAGGGGGCGCTGGCCGAGCTCGGTTGGTTCCTCTACCCCTCCTTCAGCTTCCTCAACTGGCAGGCTCAGTGGTGAGTTAGGGCACTAGATGGGCCTGATAGCAATCCGAATTGACTCATTCCTGGTATGTTGTGTATGAATTGTTGCCACGTCAAAGAGAGGCGCGACCAGTAGAGGGTGCTGTGAACTCAGATTTGCTGGCTAAGCGGGTTGCAGGAGAAAGTGGAGCAATGAAAACAAAACAAATTTGACCCCAAAAAAGTGTTCATTTACAAAAGAATGGAAGCAATAGTATCATATAAACAAATATTTTTGTGTTCAGGTTTGACTTCTCCACAGCTCTGCAGCTGAAACTGGAATCTCCCGCAACCGTGGTCTCCGTCTTTGATAAAGTGCAAATGCAAGGGGACAAAGGGGCCGTGGCTGATGTCAATATGCCGCCAGGTGGCGCTATTTTGCCTTTTTAAATTGCTGACTGTGGTGCCTTGAGATTTATGACTCGTGTGTTTTCCAGATAGATCTGCTGTTGGGTTGATTTATTTTATTTTTTTAATTTGTGAGTGCGAACTGGTGAGAAGAGCGCAATATGGTGGCAGTGAACTCAGTGTCAGTGCGTTTTTGTGACATTGTTGTTAAAAGTCACCATTTTTGGGAAGCCACAGCTGCCAATGCTCATTTCTACATTAACTGAATGAAACACACATACAATCACACAAAAAACAAAATGAAAACACTCACCAGGTGATACTGTGGGGCCACAACTCACAAGTTACGAGCTTATCCGTAGAACAAATGAAAGTCGTAAGTCGAAGCAGCACTGTATGGTGACGATCGGCTCTGTCGTTTGTGTGTGAGCAGACTTGTCTACGTTTGACACGCTGATGTTGGATGCATCGTTCTCGTGTCCCGGCAGCAGAGACGCGTCGTGTCCTCAGTGGGATCACACGGTTCAACTCTTCGTGTGCTGCGATCGCCTCGGACCGTATTGCCACGTCGAGCTGGGACGCTGGATCACCGCTTTCCGAAGGTGGTGCCGCCCGACAGAAATATTCACACTTTTCTTGAGTGTTTTTACGTTACGCAGAGTATTTATCTTGGAAATGACAATTGGAAAAAAAGGTTAATTTTGTATAAAAAAAAATCGACAGTCCCTCATGTTGCTGTCATGCGTGTGATATGCAGAAGAATCGGCCGTTGGGAGACAGATGTGTCTCCGCTTCTTCCGGTGTTGGACGCCGGCGTTTGTCGCTTCACCATGAAGACGGCTCCGTGGGCCATGCCCTGGATGGTTTCCCTCAACCTGAGGTTTAGCGTCGCCAACGTGACAAGTAGGACTGGGCTTGTTGAAGCAGCATGTGGTCAAGACAACTTGCGATTTCGTAGTGAATGACAAAAACACAATTCTTGGTGTTCAATACTGTATCCAATTGATCTGTCAGGCGAAAAGCTCCGCCCTTTCCGAATGATGTCACTGTACAACGGCGGGACTTTCGACAAGACGTACAACCGGCGCTACCCGCCAATTAAGTTTCCTGTGCCCGCCTCTGCCAAAAAGGTATGATGCACTATCGACAAGATGGCGGACAGTTCTGACTACGTGCGGCCCCGCAGGTGGAGCTCTATGCCGTCATCACAGGGCACGGCAGCGACGAAAATGGATGCGGCGAGTTCTGCGTCACTTCGCACCACTTCCTGGTCAATGGCGTTCACAACAACACGCGATCCTTCGACTCTGCGGGTGAGTTGCACTATTGATGCATCCTCACGTCATTTTACTCGGTGCTTAGAAAATGAAAGCTAAGTATCTGAAATATAATGAAGTCATACATTTTATGAGGAGAATCATGTTGCAATATTAGGAGAAAAAGTAATATCAATAGAAGGTGCCATTTTATGACAGTAGTAATATTTTTATGAAAAACATTTTGAATAAAGTTTTATGAGATTAAATTATAACCGAAGAGAAGATAATTTTGCAAAGAAAATTTGGGGGTTGACTTCCCCTTTAAAATAAAGTAATTTTTCACAAATTCCTTTTTCAACCAAAAGTTATGATTATGTCACAAAAATGAAGGCATGTTTTTGTTATTTTGTAATGTAAAACATGTTAACCTTGTAAATTCGAAACATGAGAAGAGAAAGTATTTTACCCGTGAAAAAAAAATACAGAATTTTTGTATGCATTAATAAAGTTAAACTTTACGAGGAAAAATTTTTGGGAATTTATGAGGAATGTTGTCATTTTTAGAGCACAAAATCATGAATCAACATGAAAATGAGCGATTTTAAAGCAAAAAAGTCATTAAAATAACTGCGAGGATGAAGTGAAGTGCAAATATTGAGAGAAAAAATGTCAGCGTTTTCCAGAGTGAAAAAGCATAAATAATTTTAGGATCATGAAGTCATAATTTTCCCACAGAGGTCCTAACTTGAGAAAAACCTGATTGCGCTCACTGTGTGTTTGAGCAGGCTCAGCACTGGGCTGTACTGAGCACGTGAAGGAGGGCGCCGTGCCCAACGAGCACGGCACGTGGCTGTACGGCCGCGGGGGCTGGTGTGACGGGCTGCAGGTGGACCCCTGGAGGCTCGACGTCACCGCACAGGTACAAGTCATTCCTTAAGTACAGTGGACTCCCGCACTCGGCACCCACATATTCGCTTACAGTGGTACCTCTACTTACGAAATTAATTGGTTCTGGAAGAAATTTCTAAACTACATAATTTTGTAAGTCGTGACGTGTTTTCCATGTAAATGCCCTAATCTGGTCCAAGCCTCCCCAAAACTCAGACATAAATGTTTTCTAAAGCATAAAAATACATCCAAATATGTAACAAATACATGTTACAATTAGATTATTGCGCAATAAATGACAGTCATGCACAAAACATAATTAACTAAAAAAATACATAAAAAAATATGACATAGTATCATAACCTTTTTATTTGAAAAATGAAATAATTTCTGTCCAATAAATGTACTTGAATTGTACCTTATTTTTAATGGCTTTTAATGGCTTTTAATGGCAATTGCATTGCCATGGGTGGGAGACCCATGGCAATGCAATTTTTTGGGGGGGTTTATTTACAAGAAAATAATTATTTGCCGTCCTACCCACAGTGGCTTCTTGTATACATTTTACGGTCGAGTTTATGTAATTTATTTTCAATTGAAATGTTTTTGTGGATGTGTGTGCTGTTTGCAGTTGGATGTTAGCGGTCAGGCGTCCAACACGATTCAGTACTTTGGTCTGTTCAACGGCAAGGATCCGGATCCAACTCAGCAGCCAGGTTACATTGTCATGTCGTCTTTCCTCGTCTTTTACAAATGAATACCAAAAATTTCCTCAATCAAAATTAAATAATTAATTCATCTCATGGCCATAGTGACCGTAATATGTCATTATTGTTGTGTTTAATTAAAAAAAATTGTTCATAGTGAACCTATGTGTGCACATGGTATATGTCCATGATGAATTTAGTTTTAAATGTTTCAATTAAAAATGGCATGACAGTATCAAATTTAAAAAAGTAATTGCAATGTTTTCCATAGCATTATTTTTTTATGTTTTGTGTTAGTTCACAATTCAATTTGATGTCGTGCCAAAATTAAATCTAAACTCAAAATGAATTAGTTAAAATGTAAAGTCCCCTTTTTGGTCAATTCATGATTTAACTGCAATCTGGAATCCGTTGCACATTCTATGAATTACTACTGTAAAAAATAAATAAATAAAAAATCCCAGCGTGAGAAGAGTAATTCAAAAATAAGTTTTATTTTTGCCATTACATTGAAAGAAACATAAAAAAAATAGTAATTGAAAAAAAGTTATTTTTAAAGTGTTCAAGTACATAAGGTAAGTAACATCACCGTCATATTTTTTAAAATCCTGTTTCATAACAACTCAAATGTCATGACTAATCCTTTTTGAACATGGGAGCACCTTTACCAAGAACATTATTAAGATGATGATGATGACATATACAGTATAGTATATAGTTGAGGTTAGACCCGCACACAGGTTTGTTTGCATCTCCTCTCAGTGTCAAACTGGTTAGCGTTGCCGTGGCAACCTCCAAACCAGAACTGAGCACAGGCATTGGCCTCAGAGTCATAGTACCAGCGCACCACGTAGTCTCGACACGGACCCGGGTCCAACGGCGCACGGCAGAGCTCTAATGGTGTGAAAAGAAACCAGAACAAAAAAAGAAAATGCTGTTTAAATCATTTTCTTAGTACAAGTTTCAATGTCTTGCATTTTAACAATATCATCTCAAATTAGAAAGAGATAAATTCAAATTATTAAGAGAAAACAAGAGTAACAATCAAACTAACAGGTAAAAAGCACATTTTGTCAAGTATGAAATCATAATAGTACGATAATGCATTTCCACTAGATTTTACAACATTAATTTTATTTGTATTATAAGTGTAAAAACCGCCAACGCTCACCTGGGGTGATTTGTGGAGCTCCTGCCGGCATTTTGACGGTGGGAGTGGTAGGCCCCACCTTTAACGAGGGTCGAGTGGGGGCCCTGCCATCCGGTCTCAAAGATTGTCTGTCAAGGAACGGAAGTCTCTGCGCGTCCGATGAACTCCAGTCTTCCGTTTTTGGTCTCGGAGTGGTCGTTTGTCTGTCAGGATAATATGGTGGTGGGCGTGGCTGTCCAAGAGAAAACATCTCAATGATGCTAAACTAGCTTAGCATACTGAAAGTAAAAGTCAACCATGATGGAGAAGAGACGACAATGAAATCAAGGAGCAAACACTTTTCCTGTAACGCGAGAGTGGTCTCTTGCACAAAGTTGCTTAATTGCGCCCACAGAACTGTTTTGAAAACTCAGCCCTGAAAGCCTGTTTGACTTGGCAACATGACATTTGCTTAGGTCTGTCTATCATGAGTAGTCCCACAAAACAGTCTCAAGAGGCTTGCCTGAAAAGTTACAGTAAATCGCCAATTTTGGTTTGAAAATACCATTTTGATGTTAATTTCCATTTCCAGGTGTCCTTCAAGGACAAACTCTTCCTGGAGATTCTGTCCAATCGTTACTGAAGTTGAAGCATGGATACACAACATATGGATAATGTTAGGTGTTCAGTATTCGATTGTGTTGTTGTTGTTGTTGGTGTGTGTGTGTGTGTGTGGCGGGGGCAGCACATGGTGGTCAATTTGGATGACTTAGCGTAAAAGCTGAAACTGTCAAGAGCTCATTATTATGGTACCAATTGGAAATGGATCAATTAGTTGTCCTCACCGTCACTTGAATCCTGCGAAAGTCTCCCGAAAAGGTGGGGGTGTCCATGTCCGTCCTGGTCTGGGGAGGCAGCCGGATGTCACGACCGGAGACCTCGGGACGGCTCGGAGAAAGTCCACCACCCGGGATAGAGCGAAAGAGAACGCTACTACTGTCTTCGCAGATATGGCTCAAGAGTTTCTTCTCCAGGGCTGAAATAATAATCATTTTTAATAGTGCCTCTCATTAGGGTTGTGGGGAACTGGACCCGATCCCAACACGTTTTTGGAATGCGGGAAGAATCTTGAGTACGTAAGCAATGGGAGAACATGCAACTCCACACAGAAAGGCTAGAGCCCAGATTCAAACTTCTGAATTCTGAAGCAGACACGCTAACCACGTAGTCAAAGTGCTGCCCAGCTAGCGACCTTCAACAACAAATGACAGCACAATCACCTGGTAGCGTTTTGAAGTCGTCTATGAGGTACACGTGGTCTGCATCCGGTTCTGAAGCCATGAGGTCCAGCTCCTTCTTGAACTCGCTAAAAAAGGGGTCGCTGGTGTTCACCACCCCGATCACAAACATCTCAATGTCACCCACTCGGGCCTCCCTCACCACGTTCTCAAGACTAACCGAGTCCCTCTTGTCGGCCTGGCCATCGGTGATAACCACGGCCACCTTTCTGACTCCTGGCCGAGCCACCCGAAACAGCCTGTTGGCCTGGTGGATGGCGCTGCCCGTGAATGTGCCTTCGCCCAGGTACGTCATCGAGCGCACTGCTGCCTTCACCTGATCCCGAGATGCATCCTGGCTGAGGCTGACTACCACCACGTTGATGTGGCTGTAGAGCACCACGCCCACTCGGGTAGTTTCTCGGCTCACTGATGCTCGGTCCACCAGAGCGCTCACGAAATCCTTGACGACCTCGAAGTTGTCAGGCCCCACGCTCTCCGAGCTGTCGATGACAAAGACCAGCTCCAGGGGGCTCTGCCGGCATGTTACCCCACAATCTGGGATGAAAGACTTATTTAAGGGTGAACACAAGCCAGGAAAATGAAGAAAGTGCTTCACAACATTTTTACTTACTGCACATGGATCGGACGATTTTGATGACTTCTTCCCTCTGCAAAACGCAACATTTGGGTTGAAAATGGCCACATTATATGGTAATTTAGTCTTTTTACGGGTTTCTTCAAATCGAATAAATCGGCTTGGTAGGACCACCTGGAATTTTCTTCTGCCCGCAATACAGGTTTAACTAAGCATCAAATTTGGTGGGCCTGTCTACCATGAGGAGACCCCCAAAAATAGAAGCCATGCTTTGAAGATGCACAGGAAGTTGGGCAGTTTGGTTTGAAGCGGCCATTTTTCAGGGAGGTAGCGCTTCTCGATGAGTTAGCATCTGACTCTGGTATGTCTGATCATCATGATAGAACACACAGAAATCATGTTGTGAACTACTATAGGTCATTTTTGAAGTACTGTACTGCCAATTGATCGCACAATTTTGACCATTTTTGGCTGAGTGGCAACTTTAAGTAGCACTGGAGAAAACAATTGGTCGGACAGCGTTAAGGGCGCAGAACTTCTATTGGAAAACCCCCCAAATTGAGAGTCATCCATCATGGAGATGATGAAAGACCTACCGTAAGTCCAGGTTCTCCTTTTTGTCCGACTCTACCCTGTGATTTAAAATGGAATATGTGAGCAAATATTGTTTCACAGTGTAATGCCAGTCAAATGTCAGATAAAAGAGCTTAATTTATTCCAGATTGTAGCGGTATCGCACTGTTGTGGCAAAAAGAAGACCCCCGCCCCCCCAAAAAGAACAAAAAAAACAGAGCATGTCAATATACTAGTCTACATTTCTACCATTGCTTGGGTAGTGACCGAAAGGAACAGATTATGCAAAATCTTGGTTGCCTTGCGATCACCATCCCTGGTGAGGTGTACCGGGCAACTGGAAAGAGTCCTTCGGGGAAGACCTAGACCCTCGACTCACGTATGGTACATACTTGGTGCAGTGCGCTGGCAAAATGACTCTCAAAGAAAATAAATGGAATCTGCTGCCTCAAGAACCATCCGTTCATAATTAGTTTAACAACAAAGTCACATACCAAAGGTCCACTAAGTCCTGGTTCTCCAGTTGCCCCTCTGTCTCCCTTTTTCCCTTTCTCACCAGCAGACCCTCGGTCACCCTGCAAGAAATAGGTAGTATCCATCATGTCAGTCCCGTAACATAAATTGGCAAACATAAGCTAACTGGAATGTGTCAGAAGGACACCTTATCACCCTGTAGTCCAACTCCAGCAGGACCCCTCGAGCCAGGGATCCCCTGAAATCCAGGCTCCCCCTGGAGAGAAATCATGACATTAACACTTTAATAAATGGAAGGAAACTGGAGTCAGCTGGCTATTGGTTTACCTTTTGCCCTTGGATGCCCTCTCCTGGGGATCCTTGTGGACCTGGAGGTCCTATCATGCCAATGGAACCCTACAGGGATTAAGCAAAGATTCAGGTTACAGAGGACGCATGATCCCACCTCTGGATTCATGTGTAACCCCCCAAAAATAAAACAATTCTGGCACTGACTACCTTTGGCCCTTGGAGCCCAATTCCTGGTGGTCCTGCGGGTCCAGAAAGTCCAGGCAGGCCTCTGTCTCCCTAGAGTAAAGGAGTTAAATTATTTTCTTATTCTCATACCTCGCCATACTTCATCCTTACCTTTGCCCCAGGTAGGCCAACACCATCTGCTCCGGTCTCTCCTGGCAAGCCAGGAACTCCCGGAGGACCCTGAGACCGAGAGTTTGGCATGAGTTTGTACAAAGATTTAATACTGATGCTGCACAGTGGTACTCACCGGAGGGCCCGGAAAGTCTTCACCTTTACCTCCAGGCAACCCCGAAGATCCTGGAGGCCCTCTGTCACCCTTCAAAACAGAATCAGAATCATCTTTATTGGCCAGGTATGTAAGGCATACAAGCAATTTGTCTTCAGTAGTATGAGCTATACTCGTATTGCAATAAACAAAGACATGACACGATAGACAAAGTCATAACATATAAGTATTGAAAGACTTTCCGTAATGTCAGCACTGTGGCTTGCGATCAGATTGAGTCACTCAACTCACCTTGGGTCCAGTTATACCCCGCCCCGGTTCCCCCACAGCTCCAGCGAGACCTTGTGGGCCTGGATCTCCCTGAACAGAAAAGAACAGATATTGTAATTCAACAAAGTTTTATACAATGGCACCTAAAACGTATGAGTGACACAACTTAAAAGTATGTTTTTTTTCATACTGAACAATACTGTACAGTGTTATCTTTCCAATTGAAAATCATGTTACAAAAATGTCGGTAGTTTTGAAAGTGCTGGAACAGATTAATGGCCTTTCCATTCATTTCAGTGGGCAAAGTTGTTTTAGAGATACAACACATTTGAATCACGAGCACAGTCACAGAACAAATATAATTTTTAATTCAAGGGTGTCCCACTGTCTCACCTTCGCACCAGGTAGCCCCCTCCCAGGTTGTCCAGGTGCACCGGGTGGCCCGATAAATCCCGGATCGCCCTTAATACAAAAACGCAACAAACTTGGGAAGTCAAGGTTCCGAGTCGCAAAGTGCCTAAAATAACTTTTTCAACAGTCACCGTCCTTACTTTGGCTCCCACTGGTCCCACAGGACCCACAGCACCTGGCTGACCTCTGGACCCTCGGTCCCCTCTGACTCCCTGGCAAAACACCATGTGAACTTTGTTGAAACGATGACAAACAGTAGAGATTGGAGAGTTTGCCATCAAGAATCACATGTGATGGCATGGTCAAAAGGTCTACGATAAAATCAAGAGCTTCACCTTCTCTCCAGGGGCACCTTTACCAGGACTGCCGTCTGGTCCCCTGGGCCCTGGAAACCCGATGTCACCCTAGCATTGAAAAATGACTATCCTTGACTTCTTTTGTTTAAAATATTTCAAAATTGTGGTACAAACAGGCTCAGTGGCGGTACCTTTTGTCCCGGGGTTCCGTCTTCTCCCGGCTGACCAGGTATGCCTGGTAGTCCCTCAGACCCCACGTCCCCCTGAGGAATAAAGTCAAAAGTCAATGGTGGTCAAATGCCAAATATTTCTTCAATTATAAATCTTTTTGAAGATTTTTGATGACATTTTATGAGGTGAGGTACTGGGAACTAACTTTTGGACCTGGCACTCCCACACCTCTTTCCCCAGGGGGTCCTGGTACTCCAGGAAATCCCTGATTTCCCTAAATTTAACACAAAAAAATTAATTAAGCAAATTGAGACACAGTGTGTACAAGATCGGTAGCAGCTATCACTGTTCTACTAAACATTGAGCCACCTCATGATTGCAAAGATACAGTTGTTTGTAGTTATGTCCAACAATTTCCTTATATAATGCGCCACATGCTGCTTTGCAGTGCCATTGGTAACCCAACCAGTCTGACTGGTTTGATTGACAGGATGGATTTATAACATTTGCATAATTGTGTGTGAACTTAAACAGAGCAATTTTGACACAATCAAAATGCTAAACAGCTGAAATGTCCATCAGGATTAGCATAGTATCAAACGGACACCTCCCACTGCATTACCTTAGGGCCCGCAAATCCCACGCCCGGACCTCCTCTGAGGCCTGAGGGTCCAGGTGGGCCTTGATCACCCTGAAGGAAAGAAAAGAGATACTGTTGGTATGCAACATCACAGATTTTTTTTTGAATATTTCCTTGGGGTTTTAGAGGGGCTTTCTTTTTTTTTTACCTTTTCTCCTTGGAGTCCGACACCAGAAGCTCCAACTGGACCTGGCAAGCCAGTTGGGCCGACACTGCCCTGAGAATGAAAATGTTTCTGTCAATTGATCATTAAATACAAAGAAAGGCACAGTGAACCTATGCTTTTCAAGGGGGAACCGTTCAAGATCCACCACAATCGGTGAAAACCTGCAGTATAAAGCACCCATGTAATAAACTATTAATAAAATAGTTTTACCCTTGCGCTTTCAGCAGAGTTGTACTTATTAAATTGTACTTAAACATCTTAAAAACACACTTTTCATTCCTCAGGCTTTTAACACAATACAGGTAGTATAGATGCTATTTGTTTGGCCGTATTGCGTTAGCATTAAGCTAGCATGACTTTAAGGCAGAATCACGTGATTGCATAAACGACATTTATTTCACTTTATTTTAGTTTGTATAGTTTGACAATAAACAGCCTGACACAAAAAAAGGGAGACGGTTCCCCCCAAAATCAAAACTAAAAAGATTTTAAAATCCGGAAAAAAAATGCGCAAATAGGTGAATCCACGAGGAGTTTGTGAATGTCTACTGTATAATGAAAAAAAACAAAATAATAGCACTTGAAAATGTACGGCATAGTAGTGTTGCGATTGATACACTACAACCTAGTTTACATACCGGACATGTCACCAAGTTGCATAGCAGGTTCTTTTACCTTGTCACCTTTGAACCCGATGCCAGGTAGCCCACGATTGCCCCGGGGTCCTTCAAATCCTCGATCTCCCTGTAAAATGTCAGCAGAGAAATAAAGATGATACTAGCCATAGTTTGTTATTGTACACAGCTGCATAAATATACTTAAAGGATAGTACTTAAACAATGATTCAATTAACATATATTTCTAATTCAATATATTTTCCCATATATCAAAAAACAACGAGTTCCAAAAGAATAAAAGCGCTTGTACCTAAAAGTTAAATACAACTGAACTGTACTTAAAAAAATGTACTACAGTGTCTTGAAAATTTGAAGTCACTTGTAACATTATGCAAATGTTGAACCTTGAATTCTGTGATTCTTTCACATATCACTAGAGCAGGGGTGTCAAAGTCAAATGGACGGAGGGCCAGATAAAAAATTTTGCTGCAAGCCGAGGGCCGGACTGATCGAATGTTCATTGAAAATTTTAAAAATGACCACATATTGTTGATTGAACCAAATTTAATTGACTGAAAACCTAACAAATACATTCCAATATGGTCAGATAAATAAAGCAACATTTTTTATGGCTATGTCAGTAAACTTTAATTTTCAACAGGCACAAAAAAATTTCCTTTGTATAAAAATACCCATAACATGAATGAAAGAAGCTGATATTATTCAAGGCACTATCAATAGTCCATATTTTCTCTTTTAGCAAAAGTAGGCTAAATTTACTGAAAAGAAAAACAAATAATAGGACAATAATTTTCGATCATTTACTCGAATAAAATATTTTTAAAACATAATTGGATTGAAATACAAAAAAATAAAGTGCAAAAATGTATAAACCAAAAACAACACTTTCTTCAAGAAGTAACAAGCAGCGAAAGCAAATATTGCACTTTAATTTTTAAACTTGAACTGAGTAAAAACGCTTAATATGTGATTGCACAGTATATTATAAGTAATATGCACTTCTTTGAGGCTGAGGCTGATACTCGGTGGTGTCTTAACTTTTCTACAAGTTCATCAATATTTGGGGTCAGGCTCTGAGCTGAGCAAATCCTCAAAATTGAGTGAGGGTGTTCAGCAGTAAATCAACTTCTGTGTGATGTTTTGTTCAGCTTCATCAAAGAAAATAGTTGTTCACACACGTATGTGCTGCCAAACTTTCGACAACGTTTGAGCAGCCTGGATGCGCAGCGGGACCACTGTGTCGGGGAGGAAACCGTCAAACTGCGCAGCACGCACTGCCGTATCTTTGCAGAAACACTGCAACAGGTTTTCCAGCTACGTCCATGAACATGTTCTTCGACTCTCACCTTGTTTGAAACCCGCGGTTCTCAGTGTCCACCTTCCGTTTTGCCATTTTTGATGGGTATCTGAAAGCTAATGTCACTGTTATGGGAACGACTGCGAGACGAATAAATATTTAAATAAAGCGGCCGACTGCTTGGCGCGTCACCGTTGCATTGTGGGAAATGTAGTTTTGGTGCGTGTAAAAGATCTGCGGGCTCTCGGCTTGCTGCGGTCCGCGGGCCGGTTCTAATAATAAATCAATGTCATCCCAGGGGCCACTGAAAACATTCTCGCGGGCCGGATTTGGCCCGCGGGCCGGCACTTTGACATATGTGCACTAGAGGGAGCCCACCAACCACACTCTTTTACATTATGCGTATTATGTTCTGACCCACCTTGGGTCCTGGCAAGCCCTCTCCAGGCGGTCCCGGGTTGCCTCGAGTTCCGGGTGGTCCTAGAGGACCCTGAAACAAGAGAGCAAAATGTACGTATGTAAGTGTGTAAGTAAATGTAACTATGATTTAAAATGTCTCCTATGGGCCACACAGTAGCGGTACCGCTGCAACACTGTGTCCTATTTTCTTTTAGTTCTTGGCCTGTGACCAGTGTTTCCTCTCAGTGCTCTTTTTCTATTTTCAACTCTGAAATGTATTTCCCTGACATAGCCTCCCACACACATGAAACATTTTATTCATGCAGTACACTACTTGCTGGGGTACAGAAGTATTATTGTTTTTAATATCCATTATGCTACAACAGAAATGCTACAGACAATATTTTTTCCCTTTTTTTTAGTTAAATTAATTTTAAAAGCCCATAAAGAAAAGGTTCAAATAAATGAAATGTTGTATCGCTAAAAAAAAAAAAAAAAAAAGTAAAAATGGTCATTAAATTTTAAAAAGATGAAGTATTTCATGCCTTTACTAGTTTGAAAAAAGAGTTTTTAACTTACTTTTGACAAAATAAATGCACACCCCAAGCTTAGTTGATTAAAAAATAAAATATTAGTTAATGAGGGACACGAAAAAAAAGATCAATCATCAATTACGGTAATGGACAAACTGATGATAAAATTCAACCTATTGTAGCAAAACAGAAAACAAGACGCGTATCCCGTGAACATTGCGTTAATACTCACCGGTAGTCCCGGTTCTCCGACACCAACGAGACCAGTTGGTCCAGGCCTTCCCTGGTTGCCTTTTTCTCCCTGAAAACCAAATTAAAAAATATATATAATATTTTACATTATTGTTCATCTAAATGATGATAAATGAGTCAACCTTGGCTCCTGGGAAGCCAATCCCAAAGTCCCCTGGTGGTCCAGCATTCCCACTTGGCCCTCTGTCTCCCTGTCAACAAAGATAAACATGAATTAATAAATGACAAATGATTAAAAATGACAATTCCGAGTATCTTTGGCCAAATCGTCAAGTCAAAACAATTCCTAGTTGCAACCCTCATTTTAGCACCAAAGAGGAGTCTTTGTGACTACTCCTTTGTGAAATCTTCTCTGAATTAATGCCTGAAATTCTCTCATGTGCTATAAATCAATTCATATTTCCCCGTCATAAAGACATCTTTGTCCGAAGGTTGGGGGTCAACCCGAGGGCCCGTTCGTTAAAGGTCGTTTACTGTATGCGTGTGATTGTGTGACACACGAGGCAATGACACAAACAACGTCCAGTGCTCCATGCATCTTTTGTGGGAAAATAACCTTTACAATGCCTCCAAATATTCAATCATGATTCTTGTTTTCTTTCTTGACATTTTACAACTTTATTTTGATCCTCCTTGACAAACCAATAGCTAAGTCGATTTTTAAAGGACCACTAGAAAGTGGCAAAAATGCCTTAAATTGGCCACTTGAACCAAAATGGAAAACATCCTGTGTGTTCTCCTACATGGCTTCTTGAGACTTTTTTTTTTTGTGAGTCTACACATGATAGACATGCCTTCTGAATTTTATGTTGCATATTGAAACTGGCTACAGTGGCTAAAAAATTTAAAAAAGAGCACACTTTTTTTGTGGGTCTACTCATGATAGATATCCCACCAAATATGTTGCTCAGTGAATCCGGCTTTGTGGTCTGAATTTAAAAAAAAAAATCTTAGGGGCCCCCGACTGAGTCCAAATGTCAGCTTTGAACGAAAATGTTCAACTTCCTGTGTGTTGTCTAGCATGGCTTCCCGAGACTTTTTGTTGGGTCTGCTCATGGTCGACATAACCAACCAAATTTCATATCCAACGGCCTGTTTTTTAGGCTTACCAGGTGAATGTTACACCTGGGTGAACATCCCTGCAAAATTTGTCTGGTGGACCTTCAGTTCGAACAATTGAATGTTTAGATATGCTAAAAATTACTTTTTGTCCGGTCGGTCCCTCGGGTCCAATGTCTCCAGGTGGTCCCATCTCACCCTGCAGAATACATTTCATATCTTAATGCAACACTGAAATGACATTTTACCAATAATGTCACTTATGTGTGTTCATTTTCGAAAAACGTGGTCAGAGTAGATCAAAGTCACCGTTCCCGGCTTTCATGTTCCATAGCTTTCCACAGCAAAATACTTTTTATTCGGACAAGCCAGCGTCCAGGTCGCTGCGCTAATCCCGCCACACAAAGTCCAAGAAAAATATCCTGCGAGTCGGGATTCCCTGCTTTGGGATGAGGATTAACCAGAAGCCGATACTCACATTCCATGAGTGCAGAGGTGAATACAGACAAATTTTGCTTCCACTCCTGTTGTACGGTTACGCTTTGATGTACACGTTTTGTTGCAAAAAGGATGCCTGGGAGAATATGTTTCCATTTGCATTTATACTAGCATAATAGTACAAAGAAGAGTGTGGGGTGGGGGCGGGGGCATCAAAGAGTACCAAGTTGTAAATTTGCAAAAAGAAAATCGGTGTGTGTGTGTGTGTGTGTGTGTGTGTGTGTGTGTGTGTGTGTGTGCGCGCGCGTGATATATATATGTATATATATATATATATATATATAAACGCACCTGTTTTCCTTTTGGTCCTTGCGGTCCAATAGGCCCTTCCAAACCCTGAAAGATGGCACATAAGTAATTATTAGGGATGCTAATTGAGTGCTTCAAATTGAAATAATAAATTTGGCCCGTAACATACCGGGTCACCTTTCACACCGGGAGCTCCACATTCTCCTCTGTCCCCCTAAAATAAAAATAACCATTTACATATCATATACTGTAAGTCTTTTCATTAAGTCATCGTTGATTAAATCAGGCACCCACCTTGCTACCTTTGAAACCCGGACGTCCCTGCAAGACAGTCCTTCACAATTAAAAGCCTCATCACAAATCAACAGCGTGAGATGAGACGAGGTTTACCTCAGGGCCACCACTTCCTGGTTGACCGTCCTCACCGGGCTCCCCCTTGAATGGCGACACAAAATACATAAACATCCACAGACTGGCTTTTGAAATAATTGAATTGAAATATCTGGTGGCCTACCCTTGCTCCTTTGGGACCAGGCGGCCCTCTGAAACCTGGATCTCCTTTTCGGCCCTGAATTGAGACACGTTCATGTTAAAACTTTCACTGCCTACCGGTAAACGTCTTGAAGTTCCATCTAGAAGAACTGGCAAAAGTACTCAAGGGTGGCTACTGTATATTCATGGCTGAAATTGCCTGCCGTGTTAGGGCGCCCCTGATTCTGACAAAACTTCAATAACTTTAATGTTTGACTAATGTAAATCTCATTTATTGTGCAGCTTGGTGGAGAAATAGGCGGAATAAACTCGAAGAGGATCTCAGGCAGATGAGATTATTTAAGAAGTGACGCGGAATGAACTATATTTCTTTTTTTTCTGTACAGTATCTTTATCACCTCTTTTTGAAGTTTAATAGACTCTTTCTCTTGAATGTACATTACTAAAATTACATTTTCATCCCAATAACATTTTGTGGTATAGTCAGACTACGTTATGAATAAATTATGCTTCTAACTTAGCAGCCATGGCTAACGTTAGCTTGTTTAAAGTGCTATTACTAGCTTATTATTGGTAGTGCCACTATTTTATTGGTGCTGAACAGCTTTCTTTCTGACTCTTTATCACAACTAATCAACTACTCACTTTCCTAACCATATGCCATTACAAATAGCCATATTTAAGAATCGTACACAAAGGTGAAGCTATATTCACACCTTGCTAGCAGTTGATAAACTGAAAACTCCCTCTTTAAGAAAAAGGTGCACACTTAAGTGCAAAAGTATCAGGTGAAATCGTAATTTTGACAAAAAACAATTTTCTTAATGAGAGCAATTGATGGGGAATATCTTCCTTTTCCAAATCTGTTGCGTCATTGTCGTTAGCTAGCCTTGGTTGGCTGAACTTGCAATCAAATCAACGTGTTCCCATAGTTTTGCTAACTTTGTGGCTGAAGAACCAAAATGCAGGTGGTTTTTAGGCACCACTTCTTGGTGTCGACAAAAATCAAACAATTCTCTAAAATAAAGCCATGGATGAGAAATAGATTGCTTCTCTGGAACGCATTGCGTCATATTCTTTCATTCTTAGTTCACACTCCTCCAGGTCACTACTGTCCCTGTTTTTTTTTTTTTTTCATATTTTGTTTCCACCTTATAAGCCGCCAAGATCATGATTGACTTTCCCTCGCTCTAGTAACGTGCGATCCTCTGTGGGGGTTGAAAATAAGTAGTCAGCCTATTTTGGCACAGTAAAGAGGAGAAATCACAGACATCATTTGAAAATGGAGGGAGTAAATTGAAATTATTATTGATATATATATATATATATATATATATATATATATATAAATAAATCTCACCTGAGCGCCTGGTGGGCCTGGCTGTCCACCTTCACACAAACACACCTGTGTTTCAGGACACTAATCGTAAAAACATGAGAAATAAATCAAAATGATTGTTCATGCTGTTGAAGTTTACGTTCGTTCAAGTGATGAGTAACCCAAAACAAAAACACATACCTCTTGTAGTACGACTGAGCCCTGGAAGAAAAACAAGAACCAATACAATTAAGGAGACTGAAAGCAGTGAGAAAACAGCACGGCAGCAAAATGGAGGTTGTGACTTAAAAACACAGCAGCTAGAGCTAAGGCACAGTAGCGAAATGAGCGAAAGTTACCACATGAATTGTTCAGAGGGATAGACAAGTTTTATTCTTCCATTAGAAACAAAAAAAGATTTCAAACGTTTTGTGTGCATCAAAGTCAAGTTGAGTCTTTGCTGCGTTTTTTAAAACATCAAGTAAATTCAAGTACAACTTTATTGTCAAGCGCTGTATGTGCAACATACAGCACAGATGAAATTTCTTCCCTCTTAACCAGACAAGAGTAGTTTTAGTGTAGTTTTGGGTTTTGATGAGCACATATTTTCAAAATCCTCAAAGAAAACATTGTCATGCAAACATACAGTATACACACAACTGTTCTCACCATCTCTTTAAGCAGCCGCTGCTCCAGCTGAGGGTCTTGAAGACTTTGCACAAACTGTTGAGCCGGCGCGCTGGCAACGGCCCTCAACTTGGCGCTGTTGGCCCCCTGCCGGGCGATGTGCGATAGCCCCACCGCAAACATCTTCACGCCGTGCTCCTTGGCCTTGATGGCGGCCGCCAACACGTCGGGGTTCCGCGGGTGGTCCGCGCCGTCCGTCATCAGCACGGCCACACGGACGCTGTCGTCGGGGGTCTCCTTCACCAGCAGCTCCGTCGCGTTTCCGATAGCGTAGGTCGTGTACGTACCGTGGCCGATGTAGCTCATGACGCTGACTCGACCGTGGAAGGAATCCAGGTCAGTCCATGCCGAGAAGCGCTGCTCCATGGACACGGAGCTGCTGTACTGCAAGGCCGCCATTCGCACGCTCAGCGTCCAGCCGGCGACCTGCAGCATGGACAGACGCGTACTGAAGCCCAGCACGAACGCCTTCTGCTTCTCAAACAGGCCGATCTTGGCACTTTCTGAGCTGTCCAGGATGAAGACCACCTCCAAGGAGCATGGGCGACCTCCTGAAGGTAAATACACCACAAAGGCACACATTGGATGTGTTTTCATTGATCAAAAAGAACTTTGTATAGGTCAACAGAGTTTGATACCAACAAAAAACATCAAATTCAATGGAGTACGTTTGATAAAAGCCATACGTGGGTTTTTTTAAACATTCAAATGTAGCACATTTTTCCTGAACACCAGAAAACTGTGTGACTTTGATAAATCAGAGAAAAGATTTTTGTAAGCATCCCAACCCAACACATTTTTTGGGGTAAAAATACTGGACAACTTAATAGCTTCGATTAAAAATGTAACATCGGAATTTGTAAACATCTCAACCTAACATACACGTGTCTTTGATGACCCCCCCCCCAAGAGAGTTTTTGTAAACATCCCATTTTCATAAACATCAGATCCTATTTTGTATCTTTGATCAAACCTCGCACAATTTCATAAAAATCACAACCTATGTTGCATTTTTCGTCAACATCAAAGACAACCCAGTGTCTTCGATCAACCTAACAAAGGTGTTTCCATAAACATCCCAACCCAACAAACACTACTTCATGTAAAGTTGTGTGAGGGTGAAATTTCAGGAGCCAATTTAGGAATAGACCACACACCAACGGTTGGGCACCACTGATTTGGCATCTTCAATGAACCTCAATTTCTTCCTAACTGATGAACTAACTACCCAATCAACTAATCCTACTCACTCACTCACTCACTAACCAATGAATCATTTTTAACCTTACCATTTGGTCCGTCCTCATACAGCTTGTAGTTATTCCTGCGTCCGTTGCGCCTCTGCGCGGTTGTCCAGTGTGGTAGAGACCATAGCAGGAGGAGGATCCATGCCAGTCCCCTCAACTTGCACACCTCCATCCTAATCCATAACCCATACAATTCAAACAAGATTGCCTTTAGCTCACGTCAATAACCAACTACGCAGGCTGAAACAAGCAAGAACATTTCATATACTGTATTCTCCTCATATTATGCCATGCTTTACATGCATAAATGTAAAACAGCAGCCTCAAGTTTCATATAGTAACAAATGCAACGATGCAAACAGTTCTGACATATATTTTTTTTCATGTGAGGTTGCGCATAAAACAAAAAAATGCTGCACAAATGTATAAACATTTACCCAAAATGTCATTGGGCCGAAGCCACTTGTTGCAGTCCGCTCAGCTGGGGTCCTTTCGGGGGCATCCCGTCTTGTAAAACCCAACACAGACTGACTGTGGGTAAAGCCGATGTGTCCTTTTGTGTGTGTGTGTGTGTGTGTGTGTGTGTGTGTGTGTGTGTGTGTGTGCGTGCGTGCGTGCGTGCGTGCGTGCGTGCGTGCGTGCGTGTGTGTGCAATCGAGGGCGGGGTCATCCCTGATTTACTGTTTCGTCCCATAAAAAAAAAATGGATCCCAATACTCCAAGGCGCACATTTTCCACTAGCCTAAGTGTTTTTTTGCTCCCTCCTCCTGTGTTTTCAGCTGTTGCACATTCGATGTTCGACTTTACATGAACAAAAAAAGCAAACAAGCCAATAAGATTTCCACTCTCGCCCCCTAATGTGGAAAACAGATAAGCCGCTGTTATTACAAATAGAAATCTTATTTCAAGCAAGAGCTGCCTATAGTGTCAGTTGTTGACTACGGTAAAATTTAAGCAAATAAATACATGAATCAATTCTGATCATTGTGATAATAATCAAAATAATTATTATAACTAAGGCATTATAATAATAATTATCATCATTACATTGAAAAAGCTATCATAAAAGTAATAATTACCGGTATGTAAAGTACAATAACTATTATAATTTAAATCATTATAATAATATTCAGAGGTATAATAATAGTATAAAGTATGTGAAGTCATCAAGTGTTATTCTTGTTATTATATGTTTATAAAAATAAAAATAAAATGATGGCGCTGCCTTTTATACAGATGGCATGGGTTTCATTCCTGGTCAGTGCCCCTGATATTCATCCACACACACGATCCCTTCCAAAAGTATTGGAACAGTAAAATCAGTTCCTTTTTTTTGTTGTGTACCGAAAGCTTTTTGAGTTTCAGATCAAAAGATGATGATGAGACAGAAGTCTGCGTAAGATTAACACCTTGAATTTGAAATGGGAAAGCAGTGGAATTTGTTTTTCTTTTTTTTTAGCGTGGCCGTGGTAATGTGGAATATTTAAATTAGTCTCATGAATCTGTGGAGAAATGTGGGAGGACGATAAAATGGCGGGAGAACTATAAAAATCAAATACGACAGTTAAATCATTTTAAGTAGAGAATAACGTGTGAATACTTGCCAGCATTTTCAAAAGTTATACCATTTTTTATAAACTGTGTTTCGTGGTATTGTCCTCATAATTGGCGGCTGTATACGACATCTTTAGACGACAGCGGCCTCTGGTGCCTGAAGTTCTGAGCACCATCCATCCATCCATTTTCTAATATGTTTATCTTCACGAGGGTCGCGGAGTATACATAGACGAACAACTATTTAGTGTTTCATTAGCCTGCCATGTATATTTTTGGAATGTGGGAGGAAACTGGAGTACCCGGAGAAAACCCACGCAGGCACGTGGAAAACATGCAAACGCCACACAGGAATGCCTTAGCCGGAATCGAACCCTGCACCTCTGCATTGTGAGGCGAACGTCCTAACTTGTGGAGTACCGTGCCTCCACCTTCTGAGCACCGTTTTTGTGTTTCACACAACAATTGTTTTTTTTCTTGATTTTCAATGTATATGAATCATTCAAATCGTGTTTTACTATTGATTAAATTTCATTCGTCCTTCACATCTAGATTTGTAAATTGACATAATCGGACAGAACACAGCCTTTGCGGAAACTGTTAGTCACAGGGTATTATTGTATTGACGGACTTATACATCAAACCCAAACCCAGTTTCTATGTATTTCATAAAGAATTACGTCATTACTTTTCATCCTTGGAATGTATGGTGAAGAAAAATGCTTTGAAAGTGTGTAGATTAGTGGAGTTGAACTTTGCTGAAATCCGCTACTGTTTTTTTTTCTTTTTTAAATATCATGTTTTTTTTTGTTGTTGGATTGTGACTATTTCTTGAAGCTGGTCTGTTACCTTGTCTGTCTTATAATGCTTACAATATACTATACCAATATGTTTTGTACATTTTAAATGAAATAAAAATAAAATAAAAAAATATTGACGGACTTATTTATGTGTCACCCAAAAAGAATACATCATTTATTTTCTTGATTAAAATTTTAATACATTTTATTTTCACATGTAATCTAAATTATTAGGTTCAAATTGTGTTTTATTATCGAAAAAATGTACTCTGTGAGATTTGTAAATGACAACGGACGGAACCTTAAGCGGAACCCTTATATGACGGACTATTATTTCCTAGAAGGATCTGTTTTTGTGTTACAAACAACAAGAGTACTACAACTCGAAGTAAGTTTTCCCTGCCCTGCATGTGTATGTTGAATTTTACTGAGTTACAACATGAAGGTAAATGTAACTTGGTGTCACAAATACAATGTACTGACACTAAGCGAGTGCACTGCTAGCTAAACGGTACCAACGAAAAATCTCATGTTCTAAACTCGTCCTTCATTCGCGCTAGCATTAGCCTCGCGGAGTTTGTATGTCCACATAACTCAAACCTCCTTAGTACAGTATTTCTTACACTTTTGCATTGGCAAATTCGGCTCAAAATTACGTGTTGGGCGTGGCTCGTTGTTTTTTTAAGCGCCTACATTAACACGTAAGTTATAAGTGGGCCTTTTGTGCACCTACGTGTCACATACTTTGAGCGTTATCAAATCACACTCGCCTTCACAAGCTGAGATAACAATAAATAATCGGAATTCTTTATATTTCAGTTGTGTGTTTGATCTTCTTCTGCACTCTACACTTGCCATTTTTGTCGCCCTCCCCCAACCCTCCTTTTTAAACAATTTTAACTGTGTATTCATGCAAATCTAATGAAACTTCCAAAGGATGGTTTTTGTCTGATTTTGACATTTCCGTCTTTATCTATTTAAATATATCTATAATAGATTTTGTGCTTTTTGGCTCTAGAAATGAATACTGTTAGTATTAGTTGTAATTCCTTTTTATTTACCGGATATAACAACTGCAACTTGTATATAATGAATTAAGTTCTAGATTAAAAAAAAAACGAATTAAAATGAACAAATCTGATCTAAAAACCGACTTAAAACTAACTGAATTTACAAACAAAAAGTCAAAACAAATTAAAAACTATAATGGACAATTCGAAACTATTATAACCATGGTTACAACCTCCCAAAACAAGACTTTTTGTATATATATATATATATATATATATTTTTTTTTTCAAATTACAATGCGAAAATCTATTAATTTATACAACACTGACATATTCAAAGAAAATCTAAACAATTTCAGCAGTTATCTCTCACTGCATGCTTGTGCTGTGTACCTTGGCCACATGGTGTCATAAAAGACAGACATATTCAGTACATGGAGACATTCTCAACTCAACACTTAATATTAGTCATTCTTTGCAGAGGATAAGCCTGTGTGTATTGTTATATTATATCAACATTTCTTGCTTCACATTTTTTTTCCTTCAAATATCTACTGTTCACAGGGTTACAACACCACTACAAAGATGCTATTCGTTAGCCGTTATCTCTGGCGTTTTCTATTATATGTTATTAAAGTAGGGGAGTCCATATGTTTGTTTTAACTACAGAATGTGTAATTCACTTTGTTTTATGTTTGGTTTCACAGTTAACTTCAACTGGGAGTGGCAGTAAACAGACTGAAGTCTTTTTTTTTTCCGAAGAATGGGCCCAATTTTGAACATCACATGACCAAACTGGAAAACAGGTTGGGGGATGTCCTGGGTGGGCAGTGGTCACTCCAATAGCTATAGGTTGATGGCAAAATGACGTTCATTGGTGAAATGAGAGAAAGTTATGAGCGTGCAAACGTATAATGCTAGAGAAGGCGGGCACATTTTCTCTCCAATTCTATGAGTTAAGCTGCTTATTGTTAGCAAACTACACACATACATTCACACTAGTTACTACTTGTACTTCACAGTATTTTATGTTCAATTTGAAATAAAAGTGACAACGCTAATGTCAGCAAAGAGACACTTTACACACACTTGTAGTCACATATGTAAGATGAAGCATATAGCATCAAACATTTGTCCGTTTTTGTCACAGGGTTTTTAAACATCGTCCCTCAAATGTGATGGACATTGAAAGTGGTGATCTTTGGTAAAAAATTGAAGACATCTGGTGCAAAACAACACCGTAGACATTAAGTACTTCTGCCAAACTGCTGCTTGTTGTCAAGTGAGTTGAGTCACTGCCATCATACAGTTTTTGCTCACAAGTTGAAATAAATCACAGAGGTTCGTATCTCGAAAAAGTTGGGTCACTTGGAGCTTAGATAAATATTGCCATTTGTGCAGGTGGGGTCTCATGGTGATGCACATCCACTTGAGAATCTTTTAGCCCCCTCCCCACTAGTCATGAGTGGCTCAAAGTCAGACATCCTGTGGTCTCCCCACCACCCGGACCGCTACGTCATATGCGACTCGGAGCTGGGCCTCTACCGCATTGGTCCGGCGGGATGTGCCGAGCTCAAGGCCGGTACCGTGCCCCTCTCTGGAGAGACGGCGGCCACCTTACTAGCCATCAACTCAGACACGCCCTACATGAAGTGCGTGGCCTGGTATCCCAAACAGGAGCCTGAGTGCCTGCTCGCTGTGGGCCAGGCCAACGGCCGGGTGGTGCTCACCAGCTTGGGTCAGAGCCACAATTCGGCATGCAAGGAGTTGGTGGGCAAGGAGTTTGTGCCCAAACACGCCCGTCAGTGCAACACGCTGGCCTGGAACCCGGTGGATAGCAACTTGCTGGCGGCCGGCTTGGATAAACACCGAGCCGACTTCTCGGTGCTCATATGGGACATCAGCAGCAAGTTCTCCCCGGAGGCCAGCGTCTCCGCCGAGAAGATCCGCCTCTCCTCTTCCGACTTGGACCCGAGCTTGGTCGTGACCAAGCCGCTGTATGACCTGGGCCAAAACGACGCTTGTTTGTCCCTCTGCTGGCTCCTCCGGGACCCCAAACTCCTCTTGGCCGGCATGCATCGGAACCTGGCTGTGTTCGACCTGAGGAACACCAGCCAGAAGACTTTCGTCAACACCAAAGCCATCCAGGGGGTCACGGTGGACCCCCACTTTCCTGACCGTGTGGCCTCTTTCTTCGAGGGTCAGGTGGCCATCTGGGACCTGAGGAAGTTCGAGAAGCCCGTGCTCACCCTCACCGAACAGCCCAAGCCTCTAACCAAGGTATGGTGTCATGAACTTGAGCGGATATATTTTTGTAAACATTGAAGGTCAGTTATTATTTGACGTAATGATTGACATGGTGCTTTTCATAAATATCAGGACCAGACAAATTGGTATTTTGACAAAAAGTACAGTGTTCCCACGGTACTTGGCGGTTTGGTTATTGCGGATTTAGTCCATCGCAAGGTCAAGAGAGGGTAGAGATGTCAGGACTTGGTTGAAAGTCACGATAAGTAATAACATTAACATCAAGCCGTTTGTCTTTCGTTTGATATCAATCGTTTCCGGCGCTATGACATTCATCTTGTCGACTTAACCATAAATCCTCCCCGTTCCACAATCTGAAAGAGTCCAGTTGCCTTGATTAAACTTTTGCAGATTGGACAAATCCTAACATCAGTGTTTTGTGCAACCTGGTCAGGTGGCCTGGTGTCCGACTCGCACAGGCCTGCTGGCCACGTTGACCCGCGACAGCAACATCATCCGTCTGTATGACATGCAGCACACGCCCACGCCCATCGGAGACGAGACCGAGCCCACCATTATCGAGCGCAGCGTGCAGCCCTGCGACGGCCTGATCGGCACCTTTGCCTGGCACCCGTCCAGGCAGAACCGCATGGTGGTGGTGTCGGCCACCAACCGCGCCATGACCGACTTCACCGTCTTTGAGCGCATCTCGCTGGCATGGAGCGCCACCACCTCATTAATGTGGGCCTGCGGACGCCACCTTTATGAGTGCGCCGAGGACGGGCCGGAGGGCGCCCAGGGTCTCCTTGAGCAGGATATCGCTACCAAGATGAGGCAGAGGGCTCAGTCCAGATATGGACACGACACCGTCCAGGTGTGGAGGAACCACCTGCTGGCGGGGGGCAACGATTCCCAGCTCAAGTCCCTGTGGTTTGACCTCTTCTATATCCTTTTTTTTTTTTGGTATTTTCGGTGATGTTGACGCAAATACAGAGAATCTGAGAGTGTACACAAACCTGTTTTAATCCATCCATCCATGTTTATCCTCACAAGGGTCGTGGGGCATGCTGGAGCCTATCCCAGCTGTCTTCGGGCAGTAGGCGGAGGACACGTTGAACCGGTTGACAGCCAATCGCAGGGCACACAGAGATGAACAACCATCCGCGCTCACACTCACACCTAGGGACAATTTAGAGCGTTCAGTCAGCCTGCCATGCATGTTTTTAGAATGTGGGAGGAAACCGGAATACCTGTAGAAAACCCACGCAGGCACGGGGAGAACATGCAAACTCCACACAGGAAGGCCGGAGCTGGGATCGAACCCACGACCTTTGCACTGTGAGGTCGACGTGCTAACCAGTTGCTCACCGGGCCGCCCATGCATTCATATAAAAAAAAAAAAAAAACAAAAAAAAACATAAATTAAAAAAAAAAAAAGTGACAAAATTAAGACCAAAATAAATAATTAAAAAACTTTCTCCACCAATTAATGTGAGCTGTAAGTGTACAACTGTGGTATGTTCAGTATTAACCCATCACAATTAGCGACTCATGTTAAATGGGAGTTAGCACGCACCTGGCTCCATTTCAAGTGCGTCTCATATATGTTCAGATTTCTCTGCGGTGTGACATAAAAATTCCGATGTAAAGATCACATATGAAGCAGTGTGCTGAGGATGCCGAGCTGAAGCTACAGGGGAACAAACAGGCCATCGTCTATTCCGGTATCAAGAATATTGTCAAGACCAGCTCAGGTAAGATGTCCGCCATCTGGATCGGAGTACGTCGTACGCCCCGTGCGACAATATTTTGCAGATTTTTAATCAATCGTTTACTGTATTATGGGTTGTATCAGCATTCTGGCAAGTCTATTCTCTGTCAATGATCATTATGGATCTCTTGGCACCACCAGGCACCACAGAGAGCCGCAAGTGCTGGAGTGGCTCGGAGCGTCAGACGGAGGCGACGCGTTTCCACAGCGAGGAGCGCGGCCTGGCCCTGCGCCTCTGCGGCTGGATGGGCCGGGCGTCCGACGTGGACGTGGAGCCCTTCCTGCGCTCGCTGGAGCAGGAGCGCGAGTGGGAGCGAGCCGCAGCTGTGGCCCTTTTCAACCTGGACATCCGCAGAGCCATACAAATCCTCAACAGGGGAGCCATGGCCGAGAAGGGTGAGCAAGTCCTGATGTGTTCCTTTTATGCATCCACAATAGTACGTAGGACTAAGAGAGAAATCGCCATTTCTCTGTAAGCTTCTGCTGTCATTTTGACACTAGGCACTAGCCTTGAAGTGTTCAGCTCCACGTCATTCACGTTAGTATAAGCTCGCCTGGTAAATATTGTAATCTTATGTAAGGATCTCCTGAGCAAATTATTTTTGAGACCGAACCCGGGCCCTCGCATCGCAAGAGCATTTATTATTCTTATTAATATGACTCCCTCCTAGCCCCAAATACAACTTTATTCTTGACACACTGACTCTTTTTGTTGTTGTTGTTGTTTTTGAGAAATGCATTTCTGAGACGTTCACTCATAAGATTGTGGCCCGTCATTTTAAGTACTGCTTCCTTATGTTGGCCGTCTTTGTAGCTCCATTTGAAACCAGCATCTATGAATAAATGCCCTTATTTTTTAAATATGCTAACATGATGGATTTGTATTCGCAAGTGGTTTTTATCCCCCCTCCCACATGTTTGTTGTCAATGCAGGAATGTGAAACAGATTGACTGAGGATGTACTGCCACAAATAACCCAAAAATGTTCAAAATCCAATGAAATGAAGCGCCCGAGGAATGTGTCAAACGTAGCAATACAACAACACTCCTTCTGGCCGCATGCTGAGTTTTAATGAAAAATGTGCGCTTGCTGTTGCTGCACTTGACTCACACACAATCCGCCCGTGTAGACCAGATGTTTTTCTACTGGGTGCGCTAATGAGTGTTTCCTGAAAGTGACCAGCAGCCTGCTTCATTCGATAAGACCCGAAAACAGTCTCTCTGAAAAAGCATCAGTCTTCCAGAGCTAGAGAACATACAGTTTGTCGAAGAATGATCTCTGTTGTATGCTATGTAAAAGCAGAAAATATTTTTGAAAATTCAGCCCCCAAAGTTGGGTTCACTTGACAACGTGAAATTAGGTTCACGTGTCTCTCTGTAGTATACCCACGAAAAATAATTAAGAATCCACGACTAAGGAGGCACAGGAAGTCAGCCATCTTGCTTTGTGGTGGCCATTTTAGGGTAACTTTAGTGGTTTCTACAGGTCCTTCCAAGAGGATCTTGTCGACTGGGTAGCACCCCCTGGAATAAAAAAATATAATACAGCCTCTTGGCAGCTTGAAATTTTTATGAGTAGCATACAAAAACAACAACAACAACAAAATCTGAACTTTTGGACATGGTAGCTAGCACCCTCTGGAATAAAAATAAGAATAATTCTGCCCCCTAAGCCTGTTTCACTTATAAATGTGTCATTCGAAAGGCATGTCTGACTTAATTTGCTACAAAAAAGGAAGCCAAGCCCAAAGAGACAGTTCTGCCATTTTAATTTGAAGTGGCCATTTTAGTAGACATTTCAATCCTGGAAGTTTGTCAGTTGGGTTAGTCATTGTTATTATCTTTATTTTTTTTTTTTTAACGGTTTGAAAATTCAATCAGCAGACCGCAGTTTGGAGACATTTTTCGCTCCCCTTGTCCCAGGTGACCTGAACCTGAATGTGGTGGCCATGGCGTTGTCGGGATACACGGACGAGAAGGCCTCGTTGTGGCGGGAGATGTGCAGCTCGCTAAGATTGCAGCTCAACAACCCCTACCTTTGTGTCATGTTCGCCTTTCTCACCAGCGAGCCGGGAGCCTACGACGGCGTGCTGGTATACAAATTGAATAATAACTTATAACTGTATTTTAAGGTGGTCAGAAAGGAATGTCTTAGTGTAATTTTTCTCCTTTTTTTTTGTGCTACATCAATATTTGTATCGACTTACAATTAAAGTCTGAGGAACTGAAGGTTTCTACACCAGCAGCTGTTCAATTTGTTTAGCTGTTTTGACCGGTGCAAATTAGATTACGCAGCCAAAGAGCATCAAGTCTGAAATTTTGTTTACTGCTGTTTGGCCTACAAGTTTACTGGCGCTCCTGGTAAACTTTCATTGAGAAGAGTTGAACATAAGAGCAACAAACAGGTTCCTCTTTGGGAGACTGTTGTTGTGACGTCACCTTAGGTGCCACAGGATGATTCTGGGACTGTTGTCGTATGTAGGACGGAGCCAATACTTGCCTGAAAATTTTCCATGCTTTTTACTTCAAAACCCAGATAAATTAAAAATTCAAGAGATTGCTGTTACAAGTAGGACACAGCCAGTACTATAATTAACAGTAGGAAAGACTGCTAAGTCATGCTAACCCTCTAGCTAAGCTATTGTTAAATGTAGTCATGGAAGACTGGAATAATTGTTTGGTGCCGCAGTACAGTACACTTTTCTCTCTCGAACGGCGTTGTAGTAGTGTAACAAACTATGAACATCAAATCACAAATACACTGACCCATGATAAGTTTTAAACTGGAAATGAAATCGTACGTTAATGCCAATGTCAGCCAAGAGGAGGGCCCTTTCAGGTTAAAAATATAGCAATATATCGTATATTAGATATTTATAATACCAGCAATGTTGTTTGTTTCTGAGAGAGTAAGTAAGTTTAGTTTTAGACTTTTGAGATCTGCATAGTAAATGTTTTCAAAATTACATTATATCTTTAGCATTTTAGTGCCACAATATCATACTGAATATATCAAAACTGATTTTAAAATAATTAAATAATGTCGTTCTGATCTTTGCTGATGGTGTGTGTTTGCTTGGGCTGATAAAAAAATGTTCCTGACAAAATCAAAATGTTTCTGACAAATTATCCAGAATGTTCCTGAGATGTGATGAGGTTGCCACTTCTACTTGTAGGACACTGCCAGTCCTTGCCAAAAATATCTGCATTTCCAGAAATTCTCCTTTCACGTTGCCGTTGGCCTCTTCTGTCTTGTCAGCAAACCCCTTAGCCCAGACACATGAAGAATATGGGAGATTGTTGTCACGTTTATGAAAAGCGGGAAGTAAAACTGATGATTTGATGTTTTCCCTTTCAGTACGAAAGCAGCGTGGCGGTGCGTGATAGAGTCGCCTTTGCCTCCATGTTTCTCAATGACGCTCAGGTAACCTTCAGCGACGCCAATATTCACGTTATGCTTCTTTAATTTGATTTTTCGAGTGTTGTGGCGGCATTTTTGGGGGGCGGTGGGTGTTTGGCAGCTTCCTCGCTACGTGGACAAACTGACCAATGAGATGAAGGAAGCAGGCAACCTGGAGGGCATTCTGTTGACGGGCCTAACCAAGGATGGCGTGGACCTGATGGAGAGCTATGTGGACCGGACTGGAGACGTCCAGACGGCCAGCTTCTGCATGCTCAAGGTACTATTCAACTAGTGCCATTGTTGACATTGTTTTGGATTTGAGATCAGCACAGGTTTTGAGTAGAACATAACGATTAGGACCTAATCATTAGGTGGTGAATCTCGGCTTGTCACGTCCATTAGAAGGAAGAGAAATGCCCAAGCTTTCGAAGTCATGGACAGGTTTCAGCAATTGACACTCGAACAAAGTATTTATATTTTAGGTATAAACAGAGTATGTGTTGCGGTACGTCGTCGAAAGTGAGTGTCGTGATTGTGAGAAAAGATTATGCAGGTCATGAAGTGGACAAGGAACAGGATATAAAAAAAGCCACCGCCATTCAACCTGAGCCAGTCAGTGAGTCAGTGTTTATTGTTTCAGGTGTCACAAAACATGTTTGTTTTCGCCAAAAGGTTGTTTTCTCCACTTTTAGGTCAGAAATCAGTGTTTTGGGTGAAATCAACCCATGTTGGACTGCTGATTACTAAAAAGTGTTAATCGGATAACTTTTTTTTTCTGGTAGAGGAAAAGAGCCTTCTCTTTTGGTAGTTTTTGTGCTTAAGTTGTCATGGGACACAATATTCTGAGGGTGTCGAAAGATCAGTCAAAATGCTCAAATGGCTGGCGGTATGACGAGCTCTGCTTTGAAGATTGCTGCCGCTGAATATTTTAACAGCAAGATGAAGAGGGAGAGAAGGTCCCTGACTAACTCCTGTTAGAGTATTTGTTCCCCCAGAGCTGGGAGACTATACAATATGCCTGTGAGTATCCTCATGTGCTCCGTTTGTATTTTACAATCATGTAAAACAAAACAAAATAATAATAACATAGCAAAGGAACATGTATGTGACAAACAGCTTGAAGCAAGAACACTGTACCTCTTATTTGGGGAACTGTGCAAGGAAGACTCTTTGTTTCCGTGGAGTGATGTAATGTGATTTCTGAGCAGCAAGAGAGTGAGAAAAGGTGCTAAGGAGTGCTTTATTAATATCTAGCTAGCAAGCAAGCTAGCTAGTGAGCGAGCCAGCTAGCTAGCTAGGTAGCTAGGTAGCTAGGTAGCTAGATAGCTATCCATCCATGTACCTCTTATTTGGGGAACTGTGCAAGGAAGACTCTTTGTTTCCGTGGAGTGATGTAATGTGATTTCTGAGCAGCAAGAGAGTGAGAAAAGGTGCTAAGGAGTGCTTTATTAATATCTAGCTAGCAAGCAAGCTAGCTAGTGAGCGAGCCAGCTAGCTAGCTAGGTAGCTAGGTAGCTAGGTAGCTAGATAGCTATCCATCCATGGTCTCTGTATCGTAACTATTTACCCATTCTAGTTGGGTCTGGAATGTATTTCATGCGATAAATGTGGGTTCGCTGTAAACCGTAATAAATGGAATTAAAAGTCGACTACTCCTGTTTTTCAGAACAACATCTCTCTTTTTTCCCCCCTTTTTTCTTTTTTTGGGTAATAGAAGTAATTATTTCCACATCTGTTGCTGGCCTATTTGAATGTGTTGTCCGTGCAGGAAGGTCACGCAAACATGCACACATTCCACCCGCGGGATGTGTGCACGATTTAAAAAAGAACGTTTTGTTCAAGTACACAAAATGTCTTACAGGTGAAAAAAATGTTGGGACACGACTGTGTAGTGGGCCTTGTTTTTGAAGTTGCTGATATTCGTTGTGGCAAAATGTAATTTTCAACATGTAATTTTGCCTTTTTGTCACCCAATACTGTACAGTATTTTAATGGAACATATCACCATTGGAAAAAAATTGTTAGAAGGATTTTTAAAAATTGCAATGCCTTGATGGCCAAATGTATATTTTTCCAGGATAAATATATTGTATTATTCTCAAAGTATAACATCTGTGTACTGGATTATTGCATTTTATTGGGCGGTGTGCGTGCGTGTGCGTGCGTGTGTGAGAACAAGCCTACACATGCGGACAAAATTGTTCGGACTCCTCTGATAAACCCCACAATGGTCACATAAATGACTACACTCTGACCCAAGTCACAAAAAAATAAAGATTGCATGAATGTTAACTGATGAAATTCAGACATTGCTTTTGAATTGTGGTTCAACAGAAATATTTTTAACGAACGAAAACTCATGAAACGGGACCAAACGAATACTGACCAGATGTATTTAAGTAAGATTTAGACACCCCCACCCCCACAAAAAAAAAAGGATTGAAAACAGAATCTTACGAAATCTAGGGTAATGAATACCAAAATTCCACTGTCAATCTTCTCCAGATTTAGAACAAGATTCAGGGGCAGCTAGGACTCTATTCCAACACCCCTGATCGATTCATGACTTGGAAAAGGGATGTGTCCCAACACTTTTGCCTGAGGCGTCACCCAATGACACCCATGTCCCCCTTCCAGGGTTCTCCAGGGGAGGTGCTGAAGGACCCCCGAGTTCAGTGCTGGATCGAGAACTACCGCAACCTGCTGGACGCGTGGAGGTTTTGGCACAAGCGGGCCGAGTTTGACATCCATCGAGGAAAACTGGACCCAACCTCCAAACCTTTGGCCCAGGTTAAGCCTCAAAAATGAATTTCTTCTTGTGCGTTTGAGTTTTTTGTAACATTAAGATTTTTTTTTTCTTTCAGAAATCTAACATTATTTTCGAAGTCTTATTGCGAAAGAAAAATGTTTTCATTTTTTGGGTAATATTGCCACATGGCTGCTGAAGTGAAGTGGGGGGGAAAAAAACGGAGCGATTAAGGTACTCCAATACCCATGCATGTGGGCAAGGCGAGCCACAGTTGCCGAAACACTTTCAGCCGATTATTGAACAGAAACAAACACAAATGCGAGATGAGATCACTCGCGACAGGCTTCTGCAGGCCACAATTTGCGCTCAGATGAGGACCTGCAGGCTCACTCTACTTCAGCTTCTGATGTTGTTCACTTAGTTACATATTCAATACCTAACTTTTACAGTTCATAAAATAAGCACACTTTATGAAGCCAGTATATTTATATTTTTTATTTTTTTACGTTCTCTGACATTTTATTTTTTTTATACAATAGACAAGTTACACTCTTAGATAAAGGTACCACTACAATGGCCTTTATGGGAAATGACCATGAAAGCCATCATAACAATGCTGGACTTCAACTCCAGTTGTGCAGCGGTTGGGATTATTGCTGGATTATCTCCACTTTATCTGTCCTTGGAGTGAAACTGCCGCCAGATGGCTGGCACCTCGCTCCATTTACACCTTTCCCCTTATCAAGACGGCCTTTGTGTCCCTCCGCAGGTGTTTGTCAGCTGCAACTTCTGCGGCAAGTCCATCTCGTACAGCTGCGCTGCCATGCCCCACCAGGGCCGCGGTTTCAGCCAGTACGGCGTGAGCGGCTCACCCACCAAATCCAAAGTGACCAGTTGCCCGGGATGCCGCAAGCCGCTACCACGCTGCGCCTTGTGTCTCATGAACATGGGCACGCCCGTGTCCAGCTGCGCCGGTGACGACCACGGGCAAATTTCAGCAGTCATGATCATGAGTTCAATGTTGACTCTATGGTGTGTGTTTTGTGTTTTTTGGCAGGGACGGGAAAGTCCGACGACAAGGTCGACCTGACAAGGGAGAACAAACTGGCTCAGTTCAACAACTGGTTCACCTGGTGTCACAACTGTCGCCATGGCGGCCATGCTGGACACATGCTCAGCTGGTTCAGGTAAATTGACACATGTCATACAGTCTCAAGTGTTCAGACAATCATTTTATCAATGAATCATTTAGAAATTCTTGTGCCGCACCAAATAGCTGAGAGCATCAGGTGGGTACAAGTGTAGTTTAACATGCCTGGTTCGTGAAAAATTGATCAGTAGGAACTGCATCTGTGTCAGGCTGCCAACATTAAAGTGCGCAGAGCAATGTTTGCCTCTTAAACTGCCTTTGAAAAGTAGACGGATGGCTCTTGCCAGCTAGATCAAGCACTCGCTTCGCGGCTAGCCACGAGACGCTAACTGTGGCCGCAGGTACCTCATTACACAACGTCAGCATAATGCTTTTGAGGTTTTTATTTTTTTTAGTATCCTTAATTAGCGATTGGAAAATAATGACGATGATGATGCGTTGACTGTAGTGACAATAGTTTGTGATGGCACTTTAAATTAAAACCTTGCCTCTGGTGAGGAAGATGAGTCAAGTCGGCTACCATGCCACCACACAATACCAGGACCACCTTCAAAATAAAAGCGTGCCAAGGCAAATTATGCCCATGTATTATTTGGGAATATTTAATCTTGAACTTGGCTTCTCACCACGTTGGTGGCGTGTTACTGTCATGCATAGCTCCAGCAATTGTTCCTGCAGCTGGCTTGACTTGTCTTCCCGAAAGTGCACACCAAATAGATGGTTACATGAGGCAGAAAAAAAATCCTCAAGCATTTTTTTTTTTTTTTTTAATTAAGGTACTCGAATTACTCTGACTCGTTTAACCCCTACTTATGTTCTTCATACAACATTGAGCTTTTGGGGGCGGGGAGGGAAGGGTTGTGGGGGACATAGGGTGGAACAGATAAATGGTATTTCCATTCATTTTATTGAGGAAACATGGAGTCAGAACTCCATGTTTCCTCAATAAAATGAATGGAAATTTATCGTGACCATATTCAGAAATATGGTCACGGAAACACTGAATTTAACGGGAAGGTTGACCCATAGAAATGCAGTATTTTGGCACGAAAAAGAATTCTCGTTGCTCTGAAAAATACTGTTTTGCCACTAAAACACTCTTGACCTGTTGTAGGGACCACACGGAGTGCCCCGTGTCGGCCTGCACGTGTAGATGCATGCAGCTGGACACTACGGGCAACTTGGAGCCCTTGGACAGCAGCTGAAACACGAGCAGCCTTGTTGGACCTGCACGTCCACGATCAAGAAGGGAAACTCATTGATTTTGCTGGAGTCGTCAACCTCTCAGGCACAATGAACAAGCAGGCTTAGATGGGCCTCTCGCAATCTCACCTGAATCAGGCTTCAGTAAAGAACCTTAAAAAAAAACAACAAAAAAATGTGAATCTCTGTGCCAAACATTCATTTAACATTCTAGAAGTCAATAGAGGCAAATTTTGACAAATGTCATCACACATTAAGGAAATGTTTTTTGTATGCAATCAAAACTATATTTGTTCAAGAAAAGTCAATGTTAGGCTACCCCCCCCAAAACAAAAGTAGTTTTTAGCCTTGAAAGGCTGTTTTACCTCAAAACAGTTGAACCCCATTGTGAAATGAATCGTGACCCCCATTTTCCTATTAAAACACCATATTCACTCACAAAAAGTCTACGCGAGGCTATGCAAAGGTTTAGTTTTGATACTCACTGCTGCTGAAATGATACATTTTTATTTAAACTGGTTCTGAGATATTACAAGAAGTCATGCGTAGAGTCATATTCACACATAGTAGGCCACTGCATTACCTTAAAAATCTGTTTTAATATGCAACTTTCTTTTCCCCCAAAATATGACCTTTGTTGGCACTGAAGGATGGTACCTCAGATGAAGCACACTTTTTTTTTTCTTAACTTGGCATTTTAAACATTTTCAAGGGAGGGTTGTGGGACGGGGCGGGTGAGGGGGGACGCATTGAGCGACCCACTCCAGGCTTGCGCTCCATGAAAAGAATCTCCATGGAAAACAGCAGCTGCTCGGCACTTGGACAAGAAGATTGCCCCCCACCCCCTCACCCTCTTACATCCCCTCGATTCTTAATACAGAAGCTCAGCTGCCCATTGAGTGAAAAACACAACCTTACACCCTCTCTTTCTTTCACACTCCTTCCAGTGCCCACATTGCCCCTCGAAACTATGCATCATCAATCCGAGGACGGGCGCCGTCTGCTCTGGCATTGTAGCTGTTTTTTTTTCTTCTCCCTCCTCTCCCCTCTCACTTTTTCTTTCTCTGCAACCAACACCAAACAGGCTAGAACTGGATAAATCACTTTAGTCACGGACATGCGGATCTTGGAACCATCATATCCCCACGTGGCCTTAAATGAGCATTTTGGGCAAGAAGAGCTGACAAATTTGATCTGAAGAATGGCAATTTGAATGTCACAACCTTTGTTTCTGAGCTTTTTTTTTTTTAATGCCCTTTAAATTATGATGTGTTTTATCTGGCAAAGTACTGTGTAGCGGATGCAAAAGGAAATGAGCAACGTGAATGGCCATGAAAACTGGAAAAATTGAGATGAGAACAAAAGTGGACTATTACAAGAATTGCAAAAGTGTAAAACAGAATTTTTGTTTGGTTCAACCTAGTTTTCCATGTCAAGTTGATGCCATATTTTTTTTTTCCATTGAAACTTTTGTGCACAAAATAATTCATAGTTGAACACAAAAAGTTGTATTTTGGAACAAACATGCTATACCTTGCCTTAAAAAGCATGTCGTGTTACTAAAGTAATATATTTTACCATAAAAGACGTTAGCCTCATAAAACATTTTGTCACTAAAACTAGTTAAAACTTTAGTTTCACTGCCATGTAGAGTAGATGCAATGTTTTGCCCTTAAATCATTTTTTGCCCTAAAAATAGAGTAATAGACCACAAACTATTGTATTTTCACACAAAAGTTAAACGTTTTTGGCAATATTTTATTGACAAAAATTATTTAGTCCGTCTGGAAAGTTGTACTTTCCTCATATAAATTTAAATTGTGCACACTAATATGCAATAGCTGACCTCACTGGGTTATATTTTGATACAGAAGTACAATAATTGTCCCCGTTATGGTGTGCCAAAATGACATTTGATTAGGAAAGTGGTGGAAAAAAAGCCAATGAAAATGCGACAATTTGACTTTAAAAGGCCATGTTTTAATTGCAAAAGCGAAAAAAAAAATTGGTGTCATTAAATGCTTCATTTTTGGCACTAAAATTATATATTTTGTTTAAAGAATTCAGTTTCTTCGAAACGCTAAAAACATATTTCGTGCAAGTAACTTTGGGGTGGGGAGTATCTTGACAGTGACATGTTATATTTACCTCATATTTTGTCACAAGAGTGATATATTTGGCCTGCAAAGTGGTAGTTTCCAGAGGAAATGCAATCAGTGTGCACCAAAATGCAGCAGTTAACCACAAAATGCTGTGTTTTGCCACAAAAATGCTGTGCTTCGTCCCCCCGCCCCCAATATTTTGTTACAAAAGTGAAATATTTGGCCAAGGAAGTGGAAGTTGCCCCACGGAAATGGAAAACGTGTGAATTAAAATACAATAGTTGACCACAAAAAAAGTTGTATTTTGTTCCATTCCTGGCTCAAGAGTCACCAATTTGGCTGGAGAATTTGAATGATCTTTCTGTGTTTATCAAGCATCTACATTATCACCAGAGATTAGAGTGGAAAATGTGAACTAATAATAATACTGTAACTCAATTTTCCATCGTTGCCGTCGAGAGCAGCTCGATAACGACCCACGTTACAACTCAGTCGAGCCCTGCTTGTGGCGCCATTGGTTACAAGCGCCGTCGATAGATAATCTCTGACCAATCGACGGCCTTACTGTACATCGCCGCTGTCCAATCACAAGCCGCTGAGCGGCCACTTGAGCTCGCCCCTAAATAGTCGTCAGCTAGTGGTCGAGTCAAGTCATTTAGTAGAATGGTCGAGATGGGTGGTACGCATCTTTAATGGCCTCAACTCAGCTTTTAAATAAGTTATAAATTTCACTTTAAGCTACTTGTGTTATGATTAAGGTGCGAGTTTGCATTTGTACGTAACTTAAAGGTAAGTTTTCCATCAACACACATCTTTTCATTACTGTTTTTCTTCGAGCGTAAGAGTCGGGTACGCACGCACGCACGTACACACACACACACACGCACGCACACAAAAAGAGGAAGCTAACGTGTTGTGCTAACTCTTCCTCCACTCCAGCAGCTGCTGCTGGTGCCCTCACTTTTTCTCTCCCTGTTTTCGCTATTTAAAGTCGGACTCTTTGGGGAAGGATGTCAGTCCCCGGCAACTCGCTCCAACAGCCCCGTGTGAGACGCAGCAACGCGGGCTCCCCGGGCTCGTTCGGAAACGGCGGATGTCGCCTGCACCCGCTCCGCGCCACCGTGCCCTACCAGCTGCTGCGCGGCGGCCAGGGCAGCCCAACGCGGCCGTCGCCGAGCCTCCACGGCGGGGCCGCCGCGGGCAGCCGAGGCTCCAGCCCCCCCTCCAGCCCGACTCTCCTCCTCCCAGGAAGTAAGCAGGGACTGTCGTCCGAAAACAAGGACGCCTCCTGCCCCCCGGACTCGCCCGTTTCCAGAGGTAAACAACACACACGCTAAAAGTATGTCACGCCACGTTATAACTCTTCATTTTTACACACACACACAGTTTATACAGAACCAATGTGAAAACTCATAAATCAACAGGTAATAATAATGAAATGGAAAACTTGGGAGTTCATTTTCAGCAGAATCATTTTCAGCAAACACAAAAGTTCAACCAGAATTCCTGTGGTAATGTGCTTCAAAAGTCGGAGTCTAAACCATCATCACCAAAGACAAAAGTGTAATTATAACCCCAGCAACTCAAAAGACAAACAAGTTGAAATGCAACCAACATTTTTGGGCTAACTTGGAATTGTAACTATCAACACAAAAGATAAAAGTGCGATTAATAATCACACGATCTCCAGAGTGGAATATAGTGCTAGCGCAAGGGTTAGCCATGTCCCCCCCTTGGCGTCGCACTCAAGTCAAAATCACGCAACTAAAATATGAATAGACTATTTACGCCAATAATGAGTCTGCTGAACAGATAAAGTATTCCTAAGACGATTGGCCAAAGCAACTGCATGCATGACAAGAGAGTATTAGTTGACCACACTTTTGTATGAACATTGAATGAAGGTTAATAATAATAATAATCAGCAATACTGCTTTGGGTTAGCATCTAATGCAAATAAGCATTTTGAATAAACTGGTGACCCTCGTGTTTACTGCAAGTTACACTATACAATCTACACAATTTTTTTAATAGGTAAAAAAAAAACAGTTGTCAAGATTGACTGATATTAAATACTTTTATTGTGAAACATTTTTGAGCTATGTCACCCAGTACTACTAAGCACATTATGCTTCAAAAGGTGTTTATTCAATCTTTATTTTGACCAGACTGTTGACTTCTTCATAAAGATCAAGTATTATATATATTAAGGGCAACTGTTTAGCACGTCTGCCTCACAGTACAGGGGTGCCTGGTTTGATTCCGGCTCCAGCCTTCCCGTGTGGACTCTGCATGTTCTCCCTGTGCCTGTGAGGGTTTTCTCCGGGTACTCCGGTTTCCTCTCACATTCCAAGAACATGCATGGCAGGTTAATGGAACACGCAAAATTGCCCCATGTGTGGTTGTGAGCACAAATGGTTGTTCATTTGTGTTTGCCTTGTGATTGGATGCAAACTAGTTTAGGATGTACCCTGTCTACTGCCCAATGATAGCTGAGATAGGCTGCAGCACGACCGCGACCCTTGTAAGGATAAGAAGATTAGAAAATGGATGGATGGATATTATGTGTTAAACTAAAATCACCTAAATTGAACACTTTTTGTTTTTCTCTGGGTCATTTTTTTCAATAGTGGACAAAAAAGAAAGAGGGGGAAAAAAATCTTTATTTCTCGACCAATATACTTTTAGACACATACCAATATACCTCCTGGAATATAAATTGAAAAATGATTGAACAAACAATTATTTACTGGTTTCTGAGTTCAAAACTTTTGTATATGTAATCATGGAAAGGGACCTTACCTTAACATTTTTTGAGTTTAGAGTCATAACGGCTCTCCAAGGGACATCATAACTCAACCCTGCCCAAGAACCTTTAGTCTGTAAAAATTGAAATTCAAACTTAATTTATTGAAAAAAATGTGCCAGAAACAAAGGTGTGATAACTTGGAACCCCAAAATTGGAAGGTTTGGTAGTTCAGTCAACGTTTTCGGGAACATTTGGAGTTCAAACCACCAAAATAATTAAAGATGGATATGCAACGCTAATAATCATACCTTGACATTTTCTGACATGTCAATGAATGAAGTTACCGTATTTTCATGACCGTACGGCGCACCGTATTAAGAGGCCCAGTTTCAGTTACTGGTTCTATTTCTGGATTTAACACATACACAAGACATACTTCATTATTGGACGCAGGCATGGTAAAACGTGCACTATCTTAAAAAAAATACGGTAGCATGCGTATATGCCGTCATATGTTTTTAAAAAGACAGTGGGAGCAAAACTGAATTTGGTTGTACTGCCTTTTTAAAAACATAGACTAGCGTGCATGCAATCCTACCGTATTTTATAAGCTAGTGTACGTTTTATCATGCCCGCATCCAATAATACAACATGTCTTGTGTATGCGTTGAATATCGAAATAGCACCCTTAACTATCACGATGCTTTTTGATACGGTGCGCCGTATGGTCGTGAAAATGCTTTTTAAGGTTGATTTTGGGGTGCGTATTATAGACAGAATTTTACGGTATGTAGGGCTTTGAGCAGAGTACTGGTTCACATTGCTGATTCCATCTCCTCTCAATGTCTGTTGTGGCTTGTTTTCACTGCAGGATTTGGAGGCGGAATACTGACATAAGCACAAAATGTTTTTACATGGCAATGAATGAATCCAGCAACTTCCTTATAAGGCTTTTGACAGTGTAGTCGTCCGCGTAGCCTCGAGTGGACCCGGTTTTGGCTTGACCATTTACCACCATGTTTGTAGGTGGAATAGTGATAGAAGTAGGAAACCGTTTTGTATCTCACCGAATGAATTTGTTAGACATTTGTGTTTGGTTGTTGGCAGGGTAGTGGTTCACATCATTGGCTTAATTCCCACTGGTTTGGCTTGTGTTTCTACCGCAGCATTTGTAAGTGAAATAACCAGGGCTTTGCAATATCTCTGACACCCGAGCAGGATTCGAAGGAGGAATACTGGTGGCAGCACATTTTTGGACATGGCGATGAATTAATCTCATCAGACACCTGTGTAGAGCTCTCTGTAGTGTAGTGCTTCACACAGCTGACTCAAGTCCAACTGGTTTGACTTTTTTTTTTCTCTCCCCAAAACAGGATTTGTTGGTGAGATAATCGATATTTGTGCATTCATCTGTTGGACACGTGTTATGGCTGTTGGCAGCATAGTGGTTCACATAGCTGACTTAAGTTAACACGGCTGCCTCACAGTCAGGAGATTGGGGTTCAAATCTCCTTTGGAGCGTCATATATTCAGTCAGGCCTCTCAAAGCCGATCATCAAAGAATATTAATGCATACCTCTGCATTCCTCCGCCCGGGATGACCGCCTACCTTGATCAGTGTAGCGTGTGCATCAGGAAATGAGAAGGCGCACTTGTCTTCTTCTTCCACAACAGGGCATCCATTTCCCGGCCTGACCGCATGCCGAGCATACCTTGGTTTCAGAGAGCGGCGACCTCTCACCTCCCGGCCGGCGTCGCGTATCGGTGCCACCTTACTGTCAAAACACACCCCAGGGACTGATAATGTACTCCACATGCATGCTACCATTAGATTAGCTGGTAGCTGAGCCGCAACCCTGGATTCTGCAGTCTCCATCTCCTAAAATGTGCATATTTTTTTTTCAGTGGCCCATGCAACAAAAGCGGTACTGTTTGGAAGCTGAAAACCAGCACAACGTCAAACTTAGCAGAAAGGGGGCATAAGTGTCATATTCCGCATGTCGCCGGCATGACATCACTTGCCTGACAAACTTTTTTTTTTTTCCCCTGTAACAAAGAGCGTCAACAAAGTGGCAGCTGTGCTGAAAGGCTCCTGTTTCATTGTGGCCCGGGTCAAAACTGCAGAGTCGGACCGAATGTGAAAAGCGGCGCCCAAATGGTCGATCTGCTAAAACAGCTGCAATGTTTTTATTTTTTTGAACGGCGTCGTTGGCACACCTTTGTTTTTGTCTTGCAGTGACTCGTCGGTGCCTGCTTGTTTTGTTCGAGTTGAACTTGTGCAGTGATGCTAGCAAAGCTAGCAGGCTGTTTCCTGACCAACTGAGGGACACATGCTGAAGCCTTCTCTCATGCTCACAGCCAACATTAACAACAGACTCCGCCCTTGTGTTTGTTTTTTTATGTTGTGCGGTTTTTAGATTTAGGAAAAGTGTTGAAAGTTGACCTCCCTTCACGCCCAAATGGGCATTATTTATTTAGAAATTCTCAGAACTTTGTAGCAAGACACAAAGGATCTAAAAATATTAGAAAAATGAAAATATACAGCGTTACCTTGACGTAAATGTTGAATTTGTTCCGTGATCGCGCCAAAAGGCCCAAATATTCGTCTCAAGTCCCCAATGAAATGAAAGGAAATGCCATTAAGCCATACCAGACACCCCCCCCCCACACACACACACACATCCACACAAAATTTTGTGACATGGTTTTTTTGAGGGAGGGCACACTTGAATATTGTATAAAAATACGAGGCACCCAACGTAAGCGATTTTCACCATACAAGCTGAAAAATTGCGATGCACGCACGGTAAGGCCGCAATGAACTTCACCCCAAGCAGTAGTTTCTTGGTGTGTGTGTGTGTGTGTGTGTGTGTGTGTGTGTGTGTGTGTGTGTAATGTACTGCACACCAGAAGGAGCGGCACAATATCCACTGAATTGAAGCAAGGCAAAGCGATTTTAATTATTTCCTTTTTATTAACCTATGTCATTACTATGTTTTCATAAAGTACAATGATGCTATTTTTCTTATTAAAACGCATTAAATCATAGTTTGGTTTGGGAAGCTTGAACGGATTAATGGCATTTTCTTGCATTTCGATCGGGCGAGATGACTTGAGATGCAAGTGTTTTGAGTTACAAGTGTGGTCACGGAGCAAATTAGTCGTACCTCAGGACACCATTGGATGTATGTGTGTTTTCCCCCGAGTCTGCATGAACACCTCTGCGCCCGTGCTTTCACCGGTTGGCACCACATTTGTTTTCACCTTTTGCTCTCCCGTTCATAAACCACTCGCTTCGCCCTGGAAATGCGGGCGCGATTCATTCCCTATGTCCACTAAAGGCAAAGTTTTTATTACAACTCCAGCCTGAAAATAATCACTCTTCATCCCCAAAAATCGGGATGCTTTGATCGTCTTGGCCAGGCTCACCGGGGGAGATTATTCTGGTCTGGCAAGTGCGGAGACGGTGGAAAATAACCACAATCCCCTGCTCCGAGAGGCCTGGCCGGCCCTGTATCAATATTGATGGAAATGTAGCCCGTCGTCTTTGTCCGTGGAATTGTACTGTAGCCCAGTGAGCTTACTTAGGCCATACCTTTGGCTGGACGGGCCTGTATGTTCTACCAACAATGGCTGCTTGTGTGTAGGGGACAGAGAGAGGGGCGCCTCGGGTTTGGAGTGTGTGTGTAGAGCAAGGACAGAATGTACAGCATCTTTAATGCTCATCATACGCAGCTCTTGAAAGGGCCTCGTATTGTACTGGAGTGCCAACTTGACAACCCTAATGGACTTCTTGTTGCTAATGTCTTTGCGTGCATGCAGTATTTATGCGCTTTGTGTTTGTGCACAATATGATGAGTGTTCTAGCGAAATATGCCAAAGTGTTCGACAGGAAAGTGGGGAAAAAAAACCTATAAAAACACACTGCTACAAAAATATTACATTACATTTAGTACGTACGTATCGCGTCGTAAATATAAAATATTCAACAAAACTACTGAAATATTTGATGAAAAGTTACACTAGTTGCAACATAAAAATCAAAGCGAGACTTTTTTAATCAAAAGATTTACACAGTAATGCGTAACTTCTTGACCGGGGGGAAAGAAACTGCAAAAGTAAAACAAATATATATCACCCTCTTACCCGAATATTAGAAATAAATACACAAGTATTATGACAAACTATTGGAAAATAGTTAAACAAAAGTCAACATCACATGAATGTTAGATGGGGGAAAAAAAGCAGAAATATAAGAAGATAAAAGTAGTGCAAAAATAGACAAATATTATAAAGATATTTAATCAAAAATACAAAATATCGGATGAATGAAAAAAAATATATGATGAAAAAATATTGGACGAATATTTCAAGAATCCTCCCAAAATATTTGACATATAGCATATGAGATCGGGGGGGGGGACACATGCATGGCAGAGGAGAATTGAGATACAAAAAATATTACACAACACTTTAAAAAATATAAAAAAAAAAATACAAATATTAAAAAAAAAAATTATGAAGAAAAACATTTCGCATACCAAATTTAAAATACCAAAACATAAGACAATGGTATTTGCTGAAAGATTCTCAAAGTAACCCTGACCGGTCCAACCAGGCAAGCCTAATGCACTTTTGATTGTTGGGGCTTATGTCCGTGCGTGCATGCAGTATTAATGCACTTTGTGTTTATGAGCTCAGATACGGCGGGCATGACATCGTGGAACCGAAAGAGCTTGCTTGTTTTCTTTGTAGGAGCGTCATTGCACAACCGGGGCTTTCAGTCCACTGTGAACTTTGTCATTTTGATGCAACGCCAAATTCAAAACTTTGCTCTCTGCAGCTTGTACGCTTGTGGATGTTCCTGCTGAAGATAGCCGTGGAAGTATGATTGAAAAACGTGTGTTCCGTGAACAGTGTCCATTCTTAAGAGTGCCGCAACCTTTGACTTTTTGAGGTCACGAGGCATTTTGCGAGCCAAAATTTGACTTGCAAGCCAGCTTCGGATGCGCCTTTTCTCAAGTGAAAAATCGAACAATTCAGGTACTGTAACGCCCTGGTATGTGAGAACACTCATTAGGAGCTGCTGCAGGCCACAACATGCTTAAATACATTTCATAAAAACATTTTGTTTCTTTGCGTTCTGTTATTATTATCCACTACAGTGTAGACGAAGCCCAAAAAAAAAAAAAGCTATCGGCATTATCCATCCATCCATCCATTTTCCAATCCGCTTATCCTCAAAAGGATTGGGGGGGTGGGGGGTGCTGGAGCCTATCCCAGCCGTCTTCGGGCAGTAGGCGGGGGATACCCTGAACCGGTTGCCAGCCAATCGCAGGGCACACACACACACACGAGCAACCATTCGTGCTCACACACACACACACCTAGGGACAATTTAGAGTGTTCCATTACCCTGCCATGCATGTTTTTGGAATGTGGGAGGAAACCGGAGTACCCGGAGAAAACCCACGCATGCCCGGGGAGAACATGCAAACTCCACACAGGGAGGCCGGAGCTGGAATTGAACCCCTTACCTCTGCACTGTGAGGTCGACGCGCTAACCACTGGGCCGCCGGGCCGCCATCGGCATAATAATTATTATAATTATTTCCAAAAACGATTAACAACTTACATTGTCTCGTTTCTAGCAGAAAGGTCCAAGTTGCAGATGCGTAGCTCCAGCGCCATTCGACGGACATCTTCCCTGGATGCCATCACCGCCCCGTACCTCACCGGACAGTGGCCCCGAGATGTTCACGGGCCTTACCCCTACTGTATGAAAGACAAGTCCACTCAGGTACACCGAACCAGTCACAAAGGGAAAGTGGGATGTTTCGTGTCAGGTGTGAACGTGTCGATCTGGAGTGAATTTGTTATCTGTTAAGATACTTTATGGGGTATGAATGTAATTGTCAATGTCTTTTATATCTGGTGTGACTGGTTTATTTCTGATGTGAACACATTTTATACCGAGTGGAAACAGACCCGCATGTGTTTTTACGTCAGGCGTGAACGTGTTTTAAATTAGGTCTGAACAGGCCTCTTATCAGGTGTGAAACCTTTTGCTATGTCACTGTGTTTTGCGAGCCTCTTTTATGTCAGGTGGGACCGTGCGTGCTTCATTGCGTACAGTGGCAGGCCAAGGTGTTAGATGCCAAATATGTTTTCCGAGGTTTTAACATGTTATACCAGATACACTGATGTACAAAAAGCGCTCCAAATATGATAAATGACTTTTCTAAAAAACTATTTAAAAGTTTTATATTGTACGAATTTACATTGTATGGATGTATCTCATACCAGATCTGAAACGTGTTGGTACGTGTGAAACTGTTTTAATCCAGAGTGAACTCGCGCTATACTGTGTGAATTTTTTTTTTGGGGGGGGTGTAAACATGTTTTGCATTGTGTGAATGTCTTTTAACAGTGAGTGAGCAGGTTTTGCGCCGTGCACTCGGTGTGGAGGTGGGTTTTTTTTTTTTGTAAGTGTGAACAGGATGTACATTGGCGTTATACAATGCTCGTGAAAGGTTGATTCTGATGCTTCAGTCATTGCGTTATATCAAGTGTCAACCCGTTAGAATGCATTGACTGAAGCAGTCTGACTAACTTATGTCCTGGCCGTGACATCCTTTATCATGTGAACAACCAAAAAGTTTTTCCTGCCTTGTAAGTCTTCGTTATTTTAACTGAACTTGACGGCGATTATCCAAACAATGCCAGCGCAGAGTAAAGCTCCGGTCCACACATTTGCTGCTGAAATGTGAACTCTCGGCGAAAGAGAACAGCGATCCCCTCGACAATCCTTGAACAAATACATTTAGAAACTTCCCCTCAACAATTGCTCAAAGACCACTTCTTGCTAACCGTGCACAAAGGGACCTCGGCCATTTTTTTTTTTCCTCTTTCCGAACTATGCTGATGGTTTGCACCTGTCCCCCGGGGTGAGGACAAATCCCCCTGCTCACCACCTGGCCCTCGTGGCCCCCGTGGAACGCCTTCCCTTTGTGTGGCAGAGGGCCCATAGACATGCTAATAGCCCAACACACAACGTCTTTATGAACATAAGGAACCGCCGAACAAAAGCCGACTCATCAAACAGCTTAGACCCCAGCCCCCCCACCCCACCCCCCCAATTAAAACATTGCATTCGAGTACCCCTGCCACGATTGGGCATCTACTGTACGCTCCGCTACTAAGCCTTGTTGAGGAAATCTCAGGTTGAAGAGATACAAGTGGAATCGCAAAATAATCTCCCAGCACATTCCTCAAATATGAAGGCAACATCAGTCTCAAAGACATGTGGACTTTTTGTCAAGTCGTGTACTTGGGGGGGAAAAAAAACAAAAACAAAAGTCCGTATCGTAAATTTCGACCTATTACATAACAGCTGGTGTGAAACACAATCGCACATCCTATAAAGAATACTCCCGACTACATTCATACCTAATAACGTGCTTGAGAGAAAAACCTGTTAACACCCGGTGATGCGTAATCACACCCAATATAAAATATCTTGACACAATCCAAAACATTCTCACCTGCAATGAAAACACTTCACACCTCATCATGTTAAATATGTTTGCACCGCTTGATATGCATTTGCAGCTGCTGTTAAAAACACTTTCACGCCACGTGTGAGACATGTTGACACCTGATTTAAAAAAAAAAAAGAGAAGAAGAAAACCTTTATTCGTCTCACAATGGAGAAATTCCAAATTTACAGCAGCAAAGTTATGAAAGGAAGAAAGTAGAAGAACAAAAGTATAGGCGCTGCTGTAAAGGCAGCCATTCTCGCGGCGCCATCTTGAAGTCATAATAACAAATAAATATACATCCAAATAAACATTCACCCCTTGTATAAAACACATTCGCATCTGGTACTAAACACACCTGGAATTAAACCCGTTTACATCTGATAACAAAACATGTTTACATCCGGTTACATAAAATAGGATTCCACCTTGGTTATATACTGGAAAACAGGTCACACCTGGTTTTACACACCTCATGATTATAATTTGTGCATTCACTCCTGGTCCAAAACACATTCAAACAGGTTCACGCATATTCTCGCCAAATGTTAAAGGTTCTTACAGAGTTCAGACGACAGAGTCGCACATGCCAAGCCAAAAGTCGGTGCTGACCTCAGCACCTGATATGAAAACACTTCTGGACCTCATTCATACCGGCTTTAAGGAAAAAAAAAAAAACATTCACACCTGATTTAATACGTGTTCACACGTGATATAAATCAAGATCAGTTCTAATGCAAAACACATTCACACCCGTTGTAAAACTGGATCTTTTTTGTTCTCATTTAGACCAAAAAAAATGTCACATGTATGCCAGACCAGAGGCGTACACGTCGAAACAATTCTGCTTTTATTGTTTACATTGAACTTATTCCGGATGTGGTTTGAAACGAGACCTCCCACACGCAAACCAAACGGACCTTGTTTTTTGACCCGTATTTTATGGCGGCTCCGCTTGCTGATTTTCAGACATGAGCAGCAAACAATTCGGCCTCTTCCTCCAACCATCCTTAGAGGCATGCATGTCATGGCGTGCAATCCAAACAATCGGAATTCCATGGAAAGCGGCGGCGGCGGTGCTGATTTCCTGCTTTGGATTCTTGAGGATGTGACCCGCTTGCCGCTCTGCGTGTGGGATCGGTCGCGGAAAGTTTCTATCTGCACGCCGACTCGCTATCTAGCTTCACGCTTGCTTCTGCGGGCCAAAGGGGCACACGACTGTGACGCCAGACACGGTTGTCATTGCCATTAAACATTTTTAGAAACAAAGAATTCAAATTTGGGAAAAATAGTAATCTGGTCGAAAATAAACCAAAAAATGTTTAGTTGACAATAAAACCCAATCTCATTGGGATGAAAAACTTGCCACGCGAAGGCTACCCTAGGCCAAAATTTCTGCCCCAAAACTCGCACACGGGCTAAACGGGGAGGTTCATGATAGCATTCATTTGGCGCCATCCGTTGAAGGTACAACACAAACCAAAATTTGTGTTGACACTGGCTGGGCCCCACGTACTGAAATTATTATAATTCAGTTATAAAATGAGATTCTTCCCATAAACTTGAAATGTTCGTTAAATAGTGTGCATTTCTTGATTAAAAAAAAATTGGTATTTCAATTAGGTCAAGGACCGATGTTGAAGTGAGTTGAGGTGGTTCGTTTTGGCTTATGTCGCGCTGTTGTCGTCATCTTGTAATATCGTGGTCCAAAGGAACTATGTTGAAATCAGTCGAGGAGCTTCATTTAGACAAAAGTAGTGCTTTGCCAACATTTTTAGGCCACTGAACGATGTTGAAGCGAATTGAGGAGCTTCCTTCATACCAAAGTAATGAACTGCCATCATCTTGTGGTTTGGTCTTTCATTTAATTGGAAGGGAAAAATAAGATTTTTATTTTTTTATTTTTTATTTATTTTATTTATTTTTTTTTTGACGCCCCCTTCCAAAATTGGAGATGTTATTTTGGGCCATATCGCCCAGCCACTGCGGTGCATTAAATTAATTTTTTCCATGGTTTGCGATCAGGTCAAGGCAAGTCAAATCACATCTCTACCACCCGGACGTGTCATGGCGCCTGTTGTTTACCAACATAATGAAATAGTCAAAGGTGTGGGGGGGAAATGGATTGACGGATGGCTAAAGAGAATGTACTTCTGCGCCTTTCAGACTCCAGGCATGTGGATGGACGACGGGGCGGACCAAGGGAGTCCTCACCAGAGGTCCGCCTCCTGGGGAAGCGCAGACCACCTCAAGGAGGTAGATGCTCGCACACACGCACTCGCTCCCTCAATCTCACGCTCACTCTCCCACCACTTTCTCACACACACACACACACACACACACACTGCAAACTCTTTCAACCTCACTCATTCTGTCACTTCTTCACTCTTTCGCACTCACACATTCTCAGATTATTCTCTCTCACTCACTTGCACTCTTCCCTCCTCACTCTCGCATGCCAAATTTTCCACCACACTCTCACTGACTCATAACTTTTCTCACAAGAGCACTTACAGTCCTTACTGACACACTCTCTCACATTCTCTTAGCTCATTCTCTCAACCTCATTCATGCTCTCATTTTTCTTTTCCTCTGGCACGCATTGTCACACACACACTCACCACCGTGCTCTCATTCACTCCCTCCGACACTCAAACTTGTCCTCATTCCCTTCCTCTCTCACATGTTCTTAATTCATTGTCTCGCGCTCACTCTCCACTAACTCTCTTGCAGTCAGTCTCTACCTCACTCTTGCACACACTTTGACACAACTGTCACGCACCTCAAATACTCTCTCACACACAATCAAACTCTCTCTCACTACACACTCACCAGTAACACTCACTCACTCACACTGACACTCTCACACTCATTGATTCATCCGCTCATTCCTCCTCTCTCAGCAACTCTCACATTTTTACAGTCACTCGATTTTTCTCAAACTCTCTCTCTCTCTCTCTCTCTCTCTCTCTCTCTCTCGCTTTCTCTCTCCCGTTCTCTCTCTCCTATCTCTCCCGCATTTTCTCTCTCATGGTCACTCCCACAATGAAACTGGCAGCTGCCGCGACACGTGTTTTTGTCATTTTCCCGGGGGTTTAACTCCCCATGTGTCTTTGCTTGCGCCGCGGTCAGCCTTTGCATAAGCTTTTCCGTTTCTAATCCGACCGCTCTTCCCTATTAGGCGTCCAACTCTAAATTTAAGGTCTTTCTCTCCCTGAAGCGCCACTGCGCCGCCGCCTCCCATATTTGAACTGCAAACCACACCGCCGCATGTGTGGGAGCGTGCAAAGAGAGCCGTCTTTGTGGTGGCGAGCGGTGAAGACCGCACCTTTTGTCTGCATAGCACAAGTGCGTCTCTCAGGCCCATAAAGGGCATCCTGTTTTCGTCTGATACAGAAGACCCCCCACCACCACCACCACCACCATCAAGCCCTCCCTTTTCACTGAGCTCGGTTCATCATCGGACGTGAATGGCTGCATCACGCCCTGCGTTGTTATGAAGTCTTTATGAGTTCAAACACTGTTCAAGCAATGTTGATTTGCTCCGAGGTGGCGTGCGATGAGGCTTTCAAGACCCCAAAAAAATGTGACGGGATCATTGCGTGATCATATAATGACATAATAGCAAGCAATATGGAAAGTCCATGTAATTGCCCTTAATTTGACGCATGTCTCGACGGAGGTTTGTTTGTCACAAAGACATTTTTTGACATCAGTACCGGAGGGGAAATAGTCACCAACTCTGTTTGACGTCGATTTAGACCTTCACGCTTTTATTTGTCAAAAGTTGTGATGATAAATAGCAACTAATAGGGAAATCAAGTGGTTTCATAACGATTTGTGAGTTTACCAAG